AGGTCTTTATAAAAACTATATCATATCAGGGCTTACTTTTAAAACAGGACCAAAATAGTTTGTATATATGCATAGATGTTCACTATACAATGTTCAAATGAACTGGAACTCAGGTGAGGCATGCTTCCAAATATTAAATTCATATATAAGGTATTAGCAAGGTAGACCCCCCACCTCGTAAAAAAATCAGATACAGTAAAGTATTTATGAACAGAAACTACGGTACAGTACTTGTTTACCTATAAAATGTTGAAAATACATGCAAATAAAGAGTTCAAATAATTCATTTTGACATAAAATGTTACAAATACTTGCAATGATTACAAATTAAGTAATACATTGTAGACATGAATTTATTTTATCTTAGATCTAAGGCAGATCACAGTAACTGAATATATTTATATCACAGTATTAGAACTCTATACAGTGTAGTGTGCAATTTATAGAAGTGAAAAACTAGAAATATTTCCATAGGAATGAATGTCCCAACCAGGGTTTGTTAGTGCAACACAAAAATATGCATTAGTGTATGAAGTTTGAGTAGAATACCTAAAAAAAAGTTGTTTTTTTTTAACTGAACTTAATATTCGATAAATAGTAAAGTCAAAGGTCATTGGGAAGGTCAGGGTAAAAAAAAAATAAAGTGAGGTCAAGGTCAAAGGGAAGGCCAAGGCTAATTTTTGATGCAATTCAAAAGCATTCACCAAAATGTTTTAGTGTATGAAGTTTGATTAAAATATCTAGACTTGTTTCTTTGAATCTTTGCTAAAATTTTTTGAAAACTTGAGAAAAGTTAGGGTCAAAGGTCAAATTTCATCAAAAAATATTGATTAAGTCAAAAATATTTATCAACATGTATCAGCATATGAAATTTTATAAAAATATCTTAAAAGTTCTTTGAAGCTTAGCTAAAAACAAATTTTAGAAAGCTGAAATCAAGGTCAATGGAAAGTTCAAGATAAAAAAAATGTTGGAATAGTTGAATAGCTCTCATCAGTGTGTATCAGAATATATGGGTTTAATAAAAATATCTTTGATAGTTTTTTTTCTGAAACTAAGCTAACATACATTTTTTATGTGAGGTCAAGGTAAAAGGAAAGGTCAAGGTCAAAAAAATGTTGATGCAGTTGAATAACGCATCCATATTTGTATATGTATCAGCATATGAATTTGATAAAAATAACCTGAATAGTTTCTTTGAAATTGAGTTAATTGCAAAGTGAGATGGAAGGACAAATGGAAGGACAGAAGTTGGATATGACAAATACTATATGTCTGGGCCATATTCATGGTGAGGAATGAAAATATCAATGATACAGACACGGTTATATTTAATTTGTACAAAACCTCAGTTTCTTGGTTCAAGGGAAATGTATAAACAAAGCACAATCTGTCAGGGTTTTTTTTCACTGCATCATTGTATTTTACCTGTGTCTTGGTAAATCTCTCTGCAACTATAATTGCTTCTGTTTCCAGTGATTCCGCATCTAAAAGAAATGGTTAAAATGCACATTGCATATCAGCACTGATTTGTCATAACTTACATAAATTTATGCAAGTTAAATGCCTAGCTATACATTTTTGACAAAATATTTTGTGACGCTTAGGAGACAGAGGGTGTCTGTCACTGAGTATCAAGAGTTTTTCATGATTAATCCCACCCTGGAATTCATCAGGGCAGCTGAGCTTCAGTTAACCCTGGGGTCTGAAGAATTTTACAACTTTGGTAGAGGATTAGCTCTTCATTATAATTATAAAATTTATCGATTTACCTTCAAAGTTTCCATAATGAAAATGGATCTGAACCCTGAACCAAGAGGCAGTGAATTTTAGAGTACAGTGTTGGTAAAGGATAGGTTTATTATGCAAACAATTTAAACAGGTCTAGGGGGGTACGTTTTTAGAGGATAGGCAAAATTCCAAATGGCGGACAAATTATCGGAATCCCCATGTATGGAAAATTGAAATGCAATGTGCGATAGCTTATCCTCCGATTTTGAAGGATAACAAAGGTAATTTTCAAACTCCTTGTGCCAACCTTCAGTGGAAAAGTGCATGCACCAGAGTACATTTAAATAAAAGTTCATAAAGTATCGATTGTATGTGTAGATCTGAGATTCTATGTCTAGATCTTTTACAATTTTTTTTTTAAGTTGGCACTTTTTGCACTCTCTTATTACAGTAAATTTCTTTTGCTTTATTATCATTTTTTCACCCTGTAATATTGGTCGGAGATTACTTTACTTTATCAATGTTATGTAGTTATCTTTTATTTTCTTTGGTTGAGATATCACTGTATGGTTTATAAATCATTTTAAAAAAATGCAAGGATTGTTATTTGTTTGATTAAGGGTTAACTGCCCTTTGTTTTGAAAAGTCTGGTAGGTAGCAAGACCCCTATCCTCCGTTTTCTGAGGGTAAACCCTATCTTCCAAACATGGAGGTGCCTAGACCTGTTAAACGCTTCACGCCAAGTGAAAAGACAATTTTAAAAGGCCTAACCCTTCCCCCCCCCCCCCCCCATCTCCCAGTAATACATGCTTTCCATACTGGTAAATGACCATCTTAAGCCAACACTGAAGCCAAAACCATTGGCCTAGGAGTCATGAATTTTATCATTTTGGTAGCAGAACTAATCTTGCCAACAGTTTGACTGCTTGGTTTCCAGCAGAAAAAATATTTTGCATTTCATTAGCCTCACTATGGATCTGGTGTCTCTACCCTTGTGTCATTAAATTAACAATTCCTGTAAACACTGGTAAAGGATTCACTGCATAATATAACCATGCCAACAAATTTCCACATTGAAGTCAAGCGGTAAAGTAGATTATTAAATATTTTCAATGTATAACATATATGCATTTTCACTACAATAGAAAAGTAACAGAGTAAATCTATTTATGTTACCCGATTCACCCATTGGCGATAAGCAGTCTTTTTCCACAGCTGAAAAATACTTTGTCTTAAACACTATCAATTCATGCATCTGACTCCAACAAATAATTTTTCGTAGAAGACTTTATCAGAAAATTCAACAATCTCCTGTGATCGAATTTGCTGTTCGCGCCACATGTCAGAATTTCAAACTCATAATTTCGATCCCGATGCAAATTTGACGGAATATAAACAAATAAAAAATATTAATTCCTTTGCCCCTCCAATTATAGAAAATTTCTGCAATAACCTAGAATATGTTCTGCGTCTAAACAGGATACAAATATTCATGCCTCAAGTCCGTCTTGCTATATAAGGGCCGTCACTAAGTTTCTGGGATGAGGTGCGGGGAGTATCTGAGCTAGACTTTTTTTTTTGAATGGGTACCATTTTGATGGATTCTGGTGCATTTTTAGACATTTTTTTTACATTTTAAATTAATGAAATATAGCAGTATACCTTAATTAAAACAGAAAAATGATTAGTCTATTTAGTCTCAAAAATCGTTTTTTTTTTCTAAAAGGATCAGATTGTTAACGATTTTCTTTTAAGAAACTTAACCAATTCGCAAGTATTATTCATTAAAACGTTTACCTTAATGTTTGTTTATCTGGAGGCTCCTGTGAAACATTTTCCATACAAAATTGTATATCTGCAGCGTTAAGTTGCCTGGTATTGTTTGTTACTGCTTTAATCAGTTAATTGCGAATTCAGTACTGAATAATGGTCAAAGACCTTGACTGAGCTCACGTGATTGAAGTACTATTCATTATCCACTGTGGTCATTAGAGTGTAAAATAGTAAAATAAAGAGTACACAAACAAATATTTTGTTTTATATAGTGAATTTCAACTGAAATTCAGATTTACCCTCGTATTATTATGTTTAATTTGTCGGTATTTACGCGGTAGTAGTATGTATACGTAAACGAATCTTCCAGGTATTTTAATAAATTACTTTAAAATAGGCCTACACTAAAAATTACAAAATTTATAGCCAAAGAATGACCTTAAACCTCCATAGAAAACAAGGACACATACAGTGTAGTAAATTGGTATGGAAAGTCACAGATATGAAGGAAAACGACTTGTCCTATAATTATCCCGAAATGAAACAAAACAAAACAAAACATGCGCTGATCCAGAAAGAGGTCCAGACCCCCATGGAATTTTGGAGTTATATCTGAAGAAAATTGACTCGGAAAGTGGCTTGTCCTACACTCCCATCTCCACCCCCAATTTAGTTGTTTTAGGTTTGGGCACGTTGTTTATATTTTTATATTTCCATATTTTCCAAAGAAAATTCCGGTGTATTGTTGTTATCCTGTTCCGTTCGTCCGCCACACTACCCCCTTCCTCAAACTACTCCTACATTTGACATGTTTTAAGCAGTAACCAACCCATCCTTTGGAATGATTTGTGTTGCCCTGTACAGGTGCAAAAGGATGAGGAAATTTTCATGTTCACCCTTGGAAATATATTCACATTTTGGAATATTATTTCAAATGTCCTCTAGATGTGCAATAAGGTTTTGGAATTTAATTCATTTTCACCCGAAAAGGGGGGTGGGTTGCGGAACAAAATACATTTTTCTCCTGAACTCCTCTTACATTTTTTGCAGTAGCCTATTCATTTTTTGGAATATGTGGTGTCTGTAGATGTGCACTAAGGTGTTGAAATTTTCATTTTGACACGAGGGGTGGGGGGGAGTGAGGTGTTAAAAAAAATGCGATTTTTTTTTCTACAAAAAACTTGATCCCTATACTCTTCTGATATTTTTCGTAGTACCCCATTCATAATTTGAAATATGTATTGATGACAAGTATGAAGCAAGGTAAAATTAACAAATTTTAGTAACATTTATCATCAGAGATTTTTTATACTCTAATGCTTACTGATCAGGAGAGCTAAGGACTATTAAATTTGGTTCTAAGAGGAATACTGCTCCCTACTCTTTTCATGCAAAACATAGTGAAAAATACCCAAAAAATCCCTCCAAGTATCAATGATTTTGATAACACAAAAATTGTTCTACACAAAAGAAATTAACTTCAATAACTTGAAACATTTAATGATGGTTCATAATATTTATTAAATGATCTGTACATTCAAGAGATGCAATTTCTGTATAAAGCATAAAATCCTTATGAATTTGATATCATATCCTTGGTGACACACAATGTTGATGGTGAGATTCAAAGATGTTACAGCTGCACAAACGTCCCTAGACTTGGTGAAAATGACAAAATTGTTGATATTGATAAAAAGTCCCATATATCAGAGTTCCATTTTCTGTGGCGTACTGCTTGAGTCACTGGATTCCTTAGGTTCTGCTGCTGGCTCTTTAACACTAGCTGGTGAAGACTCTGAAATTACAGAGTATAAAGATCAGAGTTTTCACATCTATTTAATGTCATTTCAAATGCTTAAAAAGTGGTTGGTCATGCATAACCAGAGTGAAACTTATTCTCATTAAAACAATAAATACATGGCAAAGGCTATCTTGTGCAATTACAATAGACATGTAACTATTAAATATCATTTTTCCTTACCTTTTTTCTCAGCTGTATCTGATTTCTCCTCGCTGAAAAAAATGACAAAAGAAATTAATGATAAAAGGCCAAGACCATTGGAAAGGGGTGAGAACGGGAGTTACTTCCCTTGAAGCATACTTTTTATACATCATTTAGTTCTGTCCTTTACCTTTTCTCGACAGCTTTTGTTTCCTCTTTATTATTTTCTGTCTCTTTCTTCACCTCTTTGTCTTCTTTCTTTGCACCTGAAATATATAATATAAATTTATCAACAGATACATGTATTTTGAATCCTGAATGAAGATTAGACAACTCCAGTCTCCTACCTTTGTCTGTTGCCTCTTTCTTTTCCTCATTCTCGGTCTTCATCCTCTTAGCTTTAGGTTTATAGCTGGCCCGGTCTTTCCTCTCCCCCTCATCCTCACTATCAGAGTATTCCCCCTCTCCTGTCACACGTTTGTCACTGGCACGAACTGGAATAATTGTAAACAAATAAAACTCACTGTCTGATAAAAAAAGACTTCAATACAAAAGGCCTCATTTAGCATACAGATATTCATTTACAGATCAGAACCCAAGGAACTAAGGGAATATCCTGAACATAAAAACTTAGAAATGTAAACCCCCCTCCCAACCCCCCATGTGTCATGAAATATGCTGTAACTCTGATTGTAGGAAAATCCAACTTCATGTCACCTTGAGGTATAAACTTGTCCAGAAATGAAATAGGAAGTCTCATAAGCTTCAGATGTTGTAAGATTAAAGGTGGATTAACAGTCTTATTAACTTACTCTGTTAAAAAGTCTACCAGGTAGTCAAAGTTTGTAATCAAACAAAGACACCTAAATCAACATGTTCCTAACCTCTGACTTCAAGACCAAAATATTTTTACGTCCATTCCGAGTCTATAAAATAAATGTATGTCTTAAGATTTTTACTGATAAACATACTAGAAATCCTTTCATCTGGATTTTCTTTGTCTTCATCTTCTCCACTTTCATCATTCAAAGCATCTTCAGGAATAGCTGAATAAAAGAAAGGAGCAAATATATACTCTGCTGAAAGAGCACAATAATACAAAGTGGTGATGTCAAAAGTGACATCTAAATTGATCACAAATTGCTTTTCAAACTCACCTGTCATTTGAACACCTGGAGCATGAGGCAGCATTCTCAGATTCTCAAAGAGACGTGTTCTAGGGGATAAACAGATAAAATTACTTCATATCTATAGGTACATGTAATAGTATATAGTTTGATATAATGTTCAATCTTAAACTTTATTTGTTCAACACTAAATAAAACCCTATGCTTACTTGATTTTGTCCATGTACTCTCCTGTGTTCTGATTTGCCATGTTTGAGGGACTGATGTGTAACTTAAAGTCAGGTCCATAATACTCAAAGTAATCATTGTATGGCAGCTCTGAAAAGAAGAAAAAAATCTTTTCAGCATCAACAGATCTAAAAAATAATTCAAAAAATTCAGAATATAAATGTCATAAAAGAGAATTTTTTTTTCTATTTTTGACAGAGTTTGAAATAACATAATTGTTCAGTTTGGACAATGTAAACCATCAGATCTTTCATTTCACCAATAGACATGATGACTTATTCTCAGTGACAAATATCTAAATACATGTATTATATTTGTTGAAAATTGCAGACTCTTGCAGATTTTTTCTCTGTAGGGTATAAAAATTTTGTCTGCAATACACAGAAATAAGTCCCAGAAATGCCTACCATTAGCAATTTCCACCCCCAGTGCTATAGAGGTCTCATAAGTCCAACATCTGGCCACATTTCTGATTGTGTATCCTCCCCCTCCAAGTAGAAGCAGTGGCAGGTTCCATTTCTTCATGTACTCTACACATTTACCATGTCCTGCAACAAAAATAACCTCTCATTAAATATCTAATACCATGTATTAATTCATCTTTCAATTTAATTGCTATGACAACATGTTTGAAATGTTATTTAATATAATTTCATTAATATATATGCTGAACATGAATAAGATATATACTGAACATGAAAAATAAGTCTTCCTTTCAGCAATCAAAATTAAAGGATTGCAACAAATTAAAGATACTTGTCTGAGAAATCAAACATTATGACATAAACTGGGCAGTTGAAGCTTAAATTACTTTACAAGTACTTCATTTCCTCAAGCATTTAACCACTGTATTGGGAACAACAGAGGGGAAAAAAAACTTCTGATCTTAATTTCTCGATATTTTCATTTTACATGTTGCCCAGTTTTCTGACATTTACAACGTGACCCCTTTACCTTTTAGAGTAAGGTTGAAACAGCCCAGCCTGTCTCCTGACAAAGAATCAGCTCCACATTGTAGAACAATGGCACTAGGTTGGTACATCTCCATAACTTTAGTCATTACCTATTATTAATAAAGCATAAAAACAATCCTCTATATTTATAGCAAAAATACTCTGTTCTTAAAGAGTCTATTTAATTAAGGGAACTTCTCTTTTCTTGGATTTATTGGAATACTTGATATTTGGATACCGGTAAAAAGGTCAATATAAGACATTGTAAAGTGTCATTTTGAAAATAATAATTACAGACACATTAATCTAATCAATAACTTACTGGTTTAAATATGGACTCATATGATTCATCATCAATTCCGTCTCTTAGTGGAAAGTTGACAGCATAGTATTTACCCTTCCCTGCTCCAATGTCCTGTGCAAAAAACATAAATTTCATAAGTACCCACGATGACACTTATTAATTGTAGTGTACATGGTGGGGGGGTGGGGGTGGGGGGGGGGGGGGGGGTTGCAAGGATTAGACCCTGAAAGGCCCAGATTTCTCTGCCTATTATTAGGCATAGATGGGCTTTGTAAAACTTTTACCAAAGAGAAGTAAACAATCAGAATTCTGACATGCCTTTCATGATATTTCTCTTATACTCTCCTCCCCTGCTCAACTCTTTGTGTTGGAAAATAAGATTTTTAATTTTACTTCAATGATTTTTTTAAATCCACTCTGCTGAGTTCTTTATACATATTCTATTATTTGTTGCTGGATTCCTACCCTGAGATCTCCTGTGCCAGGAAAGTATTCCCCATACTTGTGAAAAGAGACAGTCATGACACGATCTGTGGTGTAAAAGGCTTCCTCCACTCCATCACCATGGTGAATATCAATGTCCACATACAACACACGCTGATGGTACCTGAAGAGTAGGCATAAAAAATTAAGTCTTAATGTGATCACTTGGTTAGAAAGAGAAAAAAAAACAAACAAGAAAAATATTTTAAAATAATGTTTCTTTCAATAAAAATTTACATATTACGGTAATTATTAGCTATTTCAACTAAACATTATGTAAAAGTAAAAAATGTTTGGTCAACTGTTATAAATCTTACTTGAGAAGCTCCAGAATAGCCAGAACAATGTCATTGACATAACAGAATCCTGAAGCCTCAGATTTTTTAGCATGGTGAAGTCCTCCTGCCCAGTTAATGGCAATGTCTGCAGCCTGTTTGTTCAGCTTCACAGCTCCAGCTTTTTCAAAAGAATTTGATACATTTTATCAAATCTGGTTGTCTTTCTTGTCATCATTCAATTCTGATTTCAAATATTTTATTTGTATTTATGAAAATATGAATCATTGTTTATAGTTTTGTGAGAGTATAGCTAAACCAAGATTTTCCAATACATTTATAAATTTTCCAGTTATTCAAATAGGAACAATAGAAGTGAGCACTAGTGTACATATTTTCCTCAACACTTCAGCATTTGACTGCTTAGATTTATACTAAATTTCTTTTCCCTGTTTCACGGTTTCATTCTGATGCTACAATTCTGACTTGATTCACTAAAAACATCTTCTCTAACTTACCAACTGATCCACCTGTTGAAAGCTGACAAAATTCATACATCCCATCAAAGACGGGACAGTCCTCTCCTACATTGACTGAAATTATGTGGGGATAAAAATAACATCAAACCGTCCAAAGATACAGAAGATTAAGATGTACAGCCAAGGTGGTTATAAAGAGTTCACTAATAAGTATATTATCTGAGTTAAAAGAAACTATTAAAAATCCTGAAAAATATCTACTATGCCCCTTCCTTATACTGGGGTAACTAAGTTTTACTGTATATAACTTGAAATCTTAATTAAACATTACAATGTCAGGATATTCCTCAAAATCTTTTATAATTGTATCAGTATCATCCTTTATTTGCATGTGCAACTTTCCATGAAATCTTTAATATATCAAGTATAATGTTACAAATAAAACTATCACTCTTTAAGGTACAAAAATATATTAATTATTTATAAACTTACATCTTTGCATCTGTTTGTTATAATCAGACATGTTGTCTGGTCGAATGCTGCGTAAAAATTTAATGTAGTCATCACTGTGAAACTTTGTCATTTCCTCTTGTGTGGCTTTGTGTGGTCTCTAAATAGGAAATAAATTTGTAAATGTAACCAAAAACAAATTACAATAACTAGATAAAATATTTGAAAATGTTTCCACACTTACATATATTTCCATTTTCCTGTAGAGTCCATAGTTTAAAATAAGGTTGTGTGTCATGCGTATCCTGTGAGGTTTCATGGGATGCCCTTGTCCATAGTAATAATTGCCAATGTCACCTTAAAATTAGATAAATCTTTTAAAATAGCAATAATATAGATATAATAAATGCTTCATAAAAACTTAAACAGAGACTTCTCATTGTTGATATCTGGAGAAATGTGTACTTCTGTACATGTTACTAGGTCAAAATCAATCTACCTTTCTTTCCAATTCATTTGCCTAAATTTGGGGTTCTAAGTATTTTTGGAAGTTGTTAGGTGATCTGATGCATACTAAAACCAGGAAAATTATCCCAGCTCTGGATAATTTTGAGTAATAAGAATAATTTTTCTTCTCAAAAACAAGTTGGGCAGGGCTTCCATACATATAAAATTCCCTGTAAATCTGTTATTTTTCAAAATTATTCGAGAAAAATTGCATATTACATTTCAAAATATCTGTATTATTATTGTAAGGTTCACTTAAGTCGCATAAATTGGGTTTTGTTGACATAATAAGCAGCAATGTTACTTTGAAAATCCGTACGCAAGTTTCAATGTGGGTTGGGCTTCCATAGTTTTATTCAGACGTTGAAACGCGCTTTCCAATTTTTAAACTTATATTTTGCATTGAATGCAAAGAAAACGACTTTAAAAGTTAAAAATTACCATTTTAAACTGTTAACTGTGAAAATTAAATTTTTAAAAATATTTTCCTTTACGAAAAACATAAATTCTTATTTCGGCTTCTTCTTTTGTTTCCTGGGGCTCCTACGGGCGCACGATGTTTCGCCCAAATAAAAACAATCAAGGCCATAATACAATTTGAATAAAATTATTTATGAAAATATACAGTTTTTGTGAAATATATAAAAACATGAACAGACTTACCATCGTAGTAGTAACAAATTTTCTTCTTATTGTGCGGTTGGGTTGCCATTCTCCTCCTGTGAAGCTTGAGTAAATGACCCGGAAGCGCACCAGCAAGAGAGCGACACCTGTCAACATGTAATTGAAGGGCAAGCAACCCATGCATTACAATAATATTTAAAGCTCCTCTTTTTACATTAATTTAGCTAATTTTCATTTTGGAAAAATAGAAATAAATAAATGTGGTACAATTATATCCATAAAATGTTATTTTCACTCCATAATTGCATAAAATCCACAAAAAACGCAGAGATTGTTGTTCTCCCCCCCCCCCCTGAATTTTTTGGTAAAAATAATTTCATGAACAAGTTGGAAATAAATACTTCATCATTGTTTTGTATATAGTCTATCAACATATACTAATAAGATCGATTTTTCTATCGATAAAAAAAAACCTGCATAAAGCACGAAAAGGGGAGAGGTATCTATGCATGTAGCAGGTACCTTCTCTTAAATTATGAATTTTGTGAATACAGAAAACGATAATTAGAAACTTACCCGTTATACTCAGAAAACAACGAGGGTGCCCCCCTTGCTCCTCCTCCCCCGCGTCCTATGGACTGTCATTTACTTCAATATGATCTAAAATAGCAATCGTACAATAGAGGGGGGTGGGGGGTGGCAAAACCCTTCAAAGGTGACATCGGACATTTTGTTTAATTTTGTGGAAAATGCAGTTAGAAATAAATTCATTCGTAATGTATGAAAGATCATTTAAATTTCCAAAGTATGCAAATCTCTGGTTTTGAAAGGGAGTAAAGTTTTTTTTTTTCCCTTTGATTATTTGAACATTGATTGTGCGAATATTTATTCCATGAGGAAAAATCCCGCAACTGGGAAGAGTGGGTTTTTTTTTCCTCAAATGTTATTTTCATGCATCATATTACAAAGAAAATCATACTCTCTTTAGATAAGTGCATGGACAGACATAGCCTACATGGATAATACAGTTGAGACTAACTGAGTGAAATACGTTAGGTATATGATTTTTCGCGGGTAATAAAGAATACTTGCGCGAAGGAAACGTGGACTTAAATTATGCTTTTAAATCCTCAAAGAAAACTCGAAAACTAAAATTAAAAAAAAAAATTGTTGCCAATCTACGCAATATCATTTTAACATTTCACACAGAGATCAGATTCCATGAATGAGAAAGTATATTTTAAGTCTGCAATAATTTTCAGAATACCCCCTGCCTGGCAAAGCACATAAAAAATTGCGGTTAATTCATATATTTATTCAGTGCTATTGGTAATGAACTCTATAATATTAATAAGCTTATATCAATACTGAAAGAGTAATTGTTAATGTCCGTTTTTTTTTTTTTTTTTGTTGTTTAATGTCCCTCTTGACATTTATTTAACAGAATAATCAGTAGGATTGTCATTAATGGGTTCCTTATGTCTGTATCAATTTGTGAGAGCTAACAGAATGCAGGGACAAGTAATAACATAATATATTTTAATACTTTAAAAACAAAATAACATAGATGTAAACCAAACATACATTAAATAACAAACATACAATTTTTTTAATAACAATTTAAAATCACATATCAATTCAAATTATTAACTTCTGATAGGGTATATCAAAACAGCATTTGCACATCAAACTATACTTATGCCACATCTGTTATATATTTGCCCTCTTGAACTGGTTATATTGATAACTTTTGCATGAATTAGTATTTCTTCAATATTTTCACACACCAGAATTTCTTGTTTATTGGTAAACTGAAGGGAATAATTAAACTGTACAATATAACTAGACCACATAATTTGATGATGCTCAGTTAAATCTTCCTCATTCTCCCAAAATGTCATCTATCTGCTGCATCTTCATCTTTATCCTCCTCCAAATCATCAGCATAGAGATCTTCCGATTCAAACTTCAGCTCCTCCATCCTTTCGTTGATGTCCCGTATAACATCTTGAATACTTAAATCAAAACTGAAGTTTAAGTTTCACACAGTAGACCTGTAGTTCATCCTTTCCTATCTCATATGAAGTATTTCAGATTTCAAAGACCATTATGCTACAATATTGTTTAGTGACAATTTGTACATTAAAGAAAATTATTTTTTGGACTGTGAGAAAATTTAGTTGTACAAAGGTGAACATATTTAGTTAGTTGATCCATACACAGAGTGTCTGTAATTCACCCCTAAGAAAATTGTTTAAATATGTATACAATACTACAGTCAATGTATTGATGAAAGATATCACTGTTGCTTTAAAACTTAAACTGGGAAAAACATGCAAAAAAAGGATTTAATGACTTCATTTTAGTACAATGTAGTGTTTAGAATACTTGGATTTAATACAAACTGTGCAATTACACAGTAAATTTCAGTTCATTTTAAATCTAAAGGCAGATCACTCATAGGGCATTCAAGTACCATGGGGATATTTTCTTGAGATTTTTGCAACAAAGAGCCACATAGCAAGGCTAATTTGAACATGTACCATTACCTTTCTTTCAAATCTGCTTCTTCTTCTTTGAAACTAGAATCATTGGGATGGTCTGTAGCATTTTGTCTTGCTAGTTGTAACTTAACAGTCTGAAGGGTATTGAAACAAAAATTGACTTGAGAAATGTGCAGCAAAATTGTGTATAGACTACACAGAATACCATTACCGATACTCTGAATCTTTAAAGTTTTTAACAAGTATCCAAGTAATGTGTTAACTGGTCTTATCTAATTTTTTTTAACCAAAATATTCAGTTTAAAGCTATATATGGCATATCTGAGCTAAAAAATAAAAAAAATATGAAATTGGATGTAGATAAACATGATATATGTTATTTACATCTAAATTAAAATTTTCATTGATTTTGAACTTGAATAACCTCATGTTTCCATAGTTAGATTGACTTTAAACTGTGTCTGTTATTTAAATGCAGAGTCTTTAAATAATTCGGTTATTGTTTTAAATTTCTAATATCTTTGAAACATTATTTATTTAAATTGTGTAATTTACAGGAAAGTCCTATCTTTATATAAATTAATAAAAAAAATCGAAAGATCTTTTTAATTTTAGTTAGTCTGAACTTATGAAAAATACGCCATATATGACTTTAAAATAAGTAGCCTGTATGACAATTTTTTTTTTCATTAAACAGCTTTTTTCAGTGTAGAGAAAATATGTTTATCAACATGACATGCTAATATTATCAATGTAATACATGTAAATTTATGTTTATTAATCATTACCTTTTCAAGTTTCTCCTTTTCGTTATTTTGAATTCCAGAGACAATGGAAGCTATACTGGTCAGATTGTGGATATCCTCTAACTGCTTAACAATTAATATGATATCTTGAGATATTTTGGAGAATGTTTGGGTTATTTCATGAACAAGTTGTCTGTACATTGGGAAATTATAGTTTGGAGCTCCATTCAAGTATGCCTGGAATCCCCTAAAATCAAAATAATTTCCTCTTTTGAAAATATTAATGATATCAATGAGTATTGTTTTCAATCAAATTTTAGTCAGCTCAAGATTTCAATATGCAAAGATGATAAGTAAGTGTTGTTTTAGATAGAATGTTCTATCGTTAAAAATGATATTGTGGTGAGGGCTTGTCCCGAGACACAGTTAGATTATTCTAACTAGTGTTGTCTAATCTTCACAAGCCAAGTGTCTGCTCTGCTTCTCCATTAATGGCTAGTGAAGATGCATGATGTTTTTCATAAATCATTATAGTACATTCTATAGCAAAGATATCACCTTTACTTTCATGAACCCAAACTTATACAACATATTGATTATGTATTAATCAACAAGCATTATCCTAATATTGAAAGGGAAGTCAACTTGTGCATGACATAAAAGATATCAACTTTTGTGAATAAAGAGGGATATACAAAATAAAGACATCTTCTTGCACAGATTGAAAGTTAACTTTATATACTGCCGATATATCTGGACTGGCTAAAAAAGTAGTGTTTTGAGAGAAACAAATAATAATGCAGGAAGCATAATTATATACAGAACAGAACAGAACATTTATTTTCTAATTTAGAGCCCATAACAGACAAGTATGAAATTATTACAATAATAAAGAAAAGATATGCCAATGGATAGTATAACAATTTGTAAATGACTATATTGCTCATTTCAACAATAATAGTGTACTATTTCAGTTAATGGGAATACTATATATAAAAGTGTATGGCTACTATATGGCACGCCAAATTCACAAAAATGAGCTAATCATAGTTCCACAGTTGATAAACTAGGTTTATCGATTGTAAACTATAGTTTACAGACCGTAAACTATAGTTAACGATGATAATCTATATTTCACATCTGTAAACTGTAGTTTACACGATAATCTATGTTTCACAAGCGTAAACTATAATTATCAAGGAAAACAATCATTTGCTACTGCAAAATATAGTTTATCTGATAAATATAGTTTCACGATTTGTAAACTATGATTTACAACTCTAAACTATACTTAACAAATGTAAATTATAGTTTAGGCTTTGTAAAATATACTTTACAGACATACAAAGCGCCAATGTCACAAAAATGCGATAAACATAGTTTTACACTTGAGAAACAGAATCTCTTATTTTGTATGGGAGATGCACAATTTTCTGTGAAACTAGATTTCACGACTCTAAACCATAGTTTACGATCCAAACTATAGTTAACAATAGTTTTTTTGTAAATTAAAGATCGGCTAATCCTATAGTTACAGCATTATAAGATTTTGCTATGTAACGACAATTGTTGTTAAATATATATGCATGGTATTTCTTGTTGGCATTAAAAGTAAATGTTCTATTATTTTAAAGCAAATCTAGTTGGAAATAAAAACAAAAATGACAGGAAAATTATTGATTAAAATTTTATTTATTTTTTTTTATTTAAAAGAGAAAAATAGAGACCAAAATGCGTGATCTGTCATTAATAAAATACATGTATATCTTATATTCATCTGTAAATAAAGACATAACACAGTACATGTAACATTGCAGGCGCGGAATTTATTTTTCAACAACCGAATTTTCTTCATACATAAATAAAAGTGGCCTTTTATGGAACAAACACAACAAACTGGGACTTCTCTCTCATTCTCTCTCTCTTAAATTCAAAGGAGGACGTTGAAACCCCCACAACCCTATCTATATCCCCCACTGCATTTCCTCTCTTTCTGTTTCTTTGTTTTGGTGATGAGATGTGGCGGGAAAATGCTTGGCACATTGTAAAACGCGCTTCACCCTCCTCTGCTTGAGCAAAAATCTCGTAATATTCTGTCTTTTAAAAAATTAAAATTTTATCATATTTTTAAAAATTTCCCATAGGAAATGTATATATACACGACATTTTAAAACAAATACAATTAATCTTGTTTAAATAGAGAAAGTAATATTGATTATATATAACTCGGTCCTTGCTTTAGATAATGCTCAACACGTGTCCTTAATATTCTCTGCACTGATCCCATTATTCCTTCTCGCGATTGGTGCCGCAAAATTTTGAATTAAAAACTATCGTTAACAGGTGTTTAGATTCATAAACTATATTTAACAACTCATAACTATAGTTTACGAGTGTGAATTATAGTTTATGACGATAAACTATGATTGGCAAATGTGAATCATAGTTTAGCTCTCAAAACTATAGTTTACGATCGATAAGTATAGTTTACGTCTGTTAAATATAGTTTGTGAGTATAAATGACAGTTAACTATAGTTTACGACCGAAATCTATGGTTAACGAATGTAAAACATATTTTATCTGATAAATATAGTTTCACGATTTGTAAAACTTTGATTAACAACTCTTAACTATGGTTAACGAATGCAAATTATAGTTTACATATGAGAATCTATATTTATCAGCAAAATCTATTGTTAACGTTTATTTACAGGCAGATAAACATAGATTAGCATTCGTAAACTACACTATACAACCGTTAAATATAGTTTTACAAATGCAAACTACAGTTAACGAATCATTAACTATAGTTTACAGTTCGTAAACTATAGTTTACAATCGATAAACCTAGTTTATCAACTGTTAAACTATGTTTATATCTAATTTTTGTGAATTTGGCGTGCCATACTACTACAACATGTTATCATTTATGAATTTGCCCACAGAATTAAGAGTTTCTTTGTCTTCAGTATTGAGTAACCCAAAAAGTTTTTGTTCATCATCTAATGCCGAGAAATTTGGAAATTTACTTTTAACTGACTGAAAAATTTCTATACATATATCTCTCTGTCTCTATTGTTTACAAAAATGTTCCTTGATCATTTTGCCTTTTGGATTCATAATATAAAATTTGATGGAAAAAAAATCTTACTCTTCAAATAAACTGTACGTCTCCACTCTTTCTCCTTGCAGACAATGAAATCTTTTTAATAAATCTTTAGCGGGCAGCCCCTCCACTGTATTGTTTTCTTCTGCCATGCTGCTTTCACTTTGTCACAAAATCTTGTAAACGCTTATCACTTGCTGGAACTGCCTGTTAAGCGTCTCAAAGACTATGATCCGGTATGTTTTGAAAACATGTCAACGCCGACGAACAAGTCCTCGTATAAAGAACTAAAAGAACAGTTTGTGAGTGGGCATCAGGGGTCGTCTGCCGCAGAAATAACTTTAATTTATCTAGGCATAGCTTGTTGTGTTTTTCTTCACAATGTTTGCGTCCCAAAGTGGAGAAATCGATGGCCCCATGGGATTGTTGACTTCCTTGTTCTTGTACTCCCCGGACTCCTCTCGGTCACAATCCTCAACGAATCAAAGATTCTGATTGTAGTGACTCTCCTATTTATGGCAGCTGTTTCATTCATTACTCAGAAGGAAAGCAAGACAAGCAATAAATCCACCGTTCCTTTTCTTCAACAAGAATTCAAACAGAAACTTGATTTTGTTAGTAATTTTAGAACTTTTGCCTTAATTTGTACATCTATATGTATCTTAGCTGTGGACTTCAAAGTGTTCCCAAGAAGATTCTGTAAAGCTGAAACATTTGGTACAGGCTTGATGGATACAGGTGTTGGTCTATTCATTGTAGCCAATGGTATTGTGTCGCCAGAATCTCGCAACAAATCAAATGTTTCAAGTCTCAAAAGGTATCATTTGTACTGAATTTTGAAGATTTTCTTAGCATGTATTTGTTTATATAGAACCGACAGTGTAAATGAAGTGTTGTCCTACAGACCCAGTTTAAGAGCCTGTCCTGAGACACAAATTATTCTGAAGTACTTGATCAACATATATGTAAAACTCAGCATATAGCACCAAGGTTGAAACATTTTATAGATAAGAAATATAAAGTTTAAATTAATAATTTGCATGCACCTAATTTCTAGAGAAATTATTTTGGAATATAATCTTTAAGATTCTAAATAAATGTTTTGCAGCTCTGTTTTATCATCTGTTCCTCTAATTATTATTGGATTGGGTAGAGTCCTCTCAACTAAAGGTGTAAATTACCAAGAGCATGTAACAGAATATGGAGTGCATTGGAATTTTTTCTTCACAGTATCTGCAGTTAAGGTAAGTAAACAGGATTTTAAACAGTAATAGTTAATATCAGCATAATTTCTACAATGTATAGTTAAGGATTTGATGTAATAGTTAATTCTCCTATATGGCTATATCATTGTATATGTAATGTAATCTAAGTACAGAATTTACAAGTATATACATTGATTGGCCATTATAATCACTAATACTTTTTTTTATTTTTTTATTTTTGACAGATTTGTTCAAGTCTTATTTTGACATTCCTTCCATTCAATCTCTCAGGGCCTGCAGTTTTTGTGATTCTAATCTATCAACTGTTCCTCACTAAATTTGGTATGACTGAGTACTTAGACCTGGGAGCTGATGGTAAAGGTGGTAGACAAGGCTGGTTTGACTCCAACAGAGAGGGCATTGTGTCCTGTGTAGGCTACCTGTCTCTGTACTTCCTAGCAGTGGAGCTGGGGAAGCATATATTTAATAAAGAAAGGTACACATTTCAGAACTGTCACATACATGTTTATATCAAAGATCTTTATCATATATTAAGATTTGTGAGACTGGCATGATGAAAATTCATGAGTTCAGTCTGGCCATGATATACATGCAATTTTAAATAGGACTGCCATATATACTGATGTTTACATGATTTTATAATTTACTCAGAGCAAAATGCTAAATGTAATGCATGACCTAGCAAAAGCAAATTTTAAATCAAATAAATCCAGATTTATATGTTATTATCATTACAAATTTATATAAATTTAGCAGTGATTTGTATGTCCCCCTTGAAAAAGAGGGCATATTGCTTTCCACCTGTTGGTTGGTTGGTATGAAGGTCATTAGACCAAGTGTTGTCTGCTCAATACCTTTGAGAACCTTTGCTTGACAGATATCAAACTTGATACACTGTACCCCCTGAAGAGTAGATGACCCATATTGATTTTGAGGTCACAAGGTCAAAGATCAAGGGTCAAACTACTCTAAACATAGAAAAATATTGTCCATTCAAAATCTTGAGAACCATTTGCTTGACAAATTATCAAACTTTGTACATGTACATAAGTTTCCCTTAAGGAATAGATGACCCGTATTGATTTTGAGGTCACAAGGTCAAAGATCAAGTGTCAAACTAGACATGGGAAGATATTGACCACTCAATATCTCAAGAAACCCTTGCTTGGTAGAGTGACATGAAACTTGGTGCACTGGTTCTCCCTAGGGAGTGATTTTGCAGTGACAAGGTCAAAGGTCAAAGAGCACAGACACTAGACTTAAGAAGATATTGTCAGCCCAATATTTTTAGAGAGATTTGCTTTACAGACATCAAATTTGGTACACCCTCTAAAAAGAAAATTACCCCTAATAATATTGAGGTCTGATAGAGTTCAAACTTAGTATCATGTTTGCCCTGACTAGTAGATGACCAATTGTTTTCAATATCATTACAGACATTGTAAATTTAAAGTTGTTCCCTTTTAATATTGCCACACAGGGGACATATATGTTTCTCAAACATGTTTGTTAAAGAAGAGGATCAGATATGAAAACTATCAATTAACGTACACAGACATGTACATACAGTCAGTCCTCATTATCTCAAACTCAACTTCAAGATATCTGAGTATTCAAGATAACAAGGTTATAGAAAAAGTGCTAGAGAGTTGAGGCTCATTTCAACAAATCAATGGTATTCAAGATAAAGTTTAACTGTACTTTGTATAATGGGATGGGCATGACTCTCTTGAGAAAATACAAATCTAGCTTGATTACTGGTAATACATGTGTATATAATAGAGTCAAGACTTACAATGAAGACATTCTGTGATTTCCAGAAAAACAATTAGAGACTGGATGCAGTTTGCCCTAGTTCTATGCTTTCTCCAGGCTGTATTCTGGTGTGTGATGATCTGGTCTGAAATTCATATTCAGGAAGTCTCCAGACGTTTTGCCAACTTTGCATATGTTACCTGGATTGTAAGTACATTGTATTGATATCAGGCTTTATTTATCTACTGTAGACATACATTTATTTTTGCAAAGTACATTGTCACAATTTTTTTGTAGAAAATTGTCAGGGCATACTTAAAGTGCATTTAAGACATAGAGCAATCCAAGAAATCTGCATAATTTTCTACCGCTGATTGAACAGAAATTGTGATTTCAAAGAAATATGACCCAGTGGGAAAAAAGTACATTTACAGTATTTTGTTGCTCTTTATCATTGGATTTTCCTTTGATATGAATAATGCATTGAATAATTCTTTTTTTCAGATGGCCTTGTCAGTATTCCTCCTCTTTCTGTTGTTGATGACAGATTTGTTCAGCTATTTTCAGTCATTCACATTTTCTGAAATCAAGAACAAGGAAGGTACTTAACAGTTTTTGCTATTTTTAAAATTCTAAACCATTTGTGGCAGTCAGACGGGTTTGATCACCTTTGGCCAGATAGCTCAGTTGGTAGAGCACCTGACTGGAGATTCAGGGGGCCCAGGTTCTAATTCTGGCCTCGGCCATCACATATTTCTCCTCTCCCATTACATTTGGTGCAATGCCCAGGAAGTGACAGGTGAAGGACCTACAGGGAAGAGCCTGGGTTGGTGTCTTCAGGGGCGGAAGACCTTTAAGGAGGGAGGAATGTGGCGGTCAGACGGGTTCGATCGCCGGTGGCCAGATAGCTCAGTTGGTAGAGCACCTGACTGGAGATTCAGGGGGCTGGGTCAGAATACCAGTCTAGTCCGTCACATATTTCTCTTCTCTGTTATGCATTGCTTGAAGTATATGATTATATCCAATAACATTTAGTTCAAATAATTTTATTCAGAAATGACATAACAGTATTTATCAATCAAATTTCACAGATAGTCTGTACATTTTTCAATTCATGTAGCACTGAAACTTGTTGAATAACAAGTGAGATCATGATCCTAGCTTCATTTCAACTTTGTTAACTTCAATCTCTACCAACAAAAAGCATACAAATACTTAAGTCATTTCCATGGTGTCAATTCTTCTATACAATTAGAAAATACAATTTAAATTCTAATAGCACTGTTCAAATTGTTAAGATTTCTCAATTTTACTAATATTCAGAAAATTTAAAAAAGATTTAACTGTATATGGTAACATACGGTGTTAGCATCTGTTTAATTCAATGAAAACTGTATTCCTATCTTTAAGATTTCAGTGTTTTTTCCTTTTTTTCAGGTGATGTTTGCCTGTTGTCTGCTGTAAATTATAATGCACTGTTATATTTCCTGTTGGCAAATGTTTTCACTGGACTTGTAAATTTGTGCATAGACACTATACAATCTTCACCAACAAAAAGCATGGCAATACTTGTCATTTACATGGGCATTTTGAGTTTTATATCAATTGTGTTTTACAAATGGAAAATACAATTAAAATTCTGGTAGCACTGGTATGGTTAATTGATTGCATTTTTTTTTTCAATATTGAACATGGAATTCGTCAAATTTCAGCCATATTTTATTGTGTACTGATTGTTTTTAACCTATCCATTTAAAATATGATGGTGAACAGTTGGTTAAGGTAAGCAATGTGGCCCATGAGCCTCTTGTTAGATATGAAATTTTTGATAGGACATCTCAGTATACAATTAACAAGATACAGCCATTTCTCTTAAATTTAAGAGCCCTATGAATATTAATGTAATATGAGCTACAATTTCTGTCAGAAATTTTTGTTGAATGGCGGCTTAAAAACCTATGTTATTCATCTATGCATTGGAAAAACTACTAATCAGATTATGACAATACATGTACTTGTTTTTGCATATTGTAAATTCAGTGCTTTTGGTGGTTATCGATTGTCAGGCATTTTTTTTCCCAATCATCACGGGGTTATTTTCACCATTTCACATTTGACAACATTTTGCCCCATTTTAAATTCACCAAGACACAGTTATGTGAAAGAGATAATACTGTCTTCTTTGAATTCATCCCCATTTTAAATTTTCCTATTAAAAACAACTAAAATAAGGCAAAAATTTCCCCACATAACAGTAGTTATTGTATGAAATCTTACTTTGATGGGATTGTGCCAGTCCACTTAAATAAGTACTTCTACAGTGTGTATGTATAGCTGTTGTGACTATGGTAAGATGATCATAATTGGGATATGTGATTAATAATACAGATTTTAGTTCTGATGAAACACACATCAAAGCATCTGTGTGAATTGTACATATAATTAAGCATATCAATAGAAAGAGTAAGGTATACATCACAAAAAAAGAAGTTGAAGACAAATATGTTTATTGACATTCATGGTCATATTCTTAAAGTTCCTTTCAAACAGAAAAATCTTATCTTTTATTACAGTCTTTAAATGATTATTATTGAAGGAAGATGAATGAATAACGTCATAATTTCAACACAGTACAGATGAATTTTACATCTGACACTTTAAGCTATGAAAATGCCCTATAATTTTGATCTGTCCATCTTGTTCATCAGTTTCTCTAGTTTCATGGCCAGTCCCATGTCACCTTGGATTTTCAATTTCCCTGACATAAATGCAGTCACAGCCTTTAATTCTCCTTTGAACATCTTGACAAAATCTTCGCTGTCTAGTGTCATTGTGCAGTTAGCGCCCCCTGGTGCCTCTCCTTTACCGATGTTACCTGATCCTGTTTTAAGGTCAATGAACCATACTCCTTGATCGTTACCTACATGACAAAGAATATAGGGGAATAAGTTTTAAGTGTATAAAAATAAAATTCAATTTACATACTAAGTATTTTAGAGCAATGTTCTTATATTGCACACAAACATGAGTTTACAATAAACCTCAGGGGTTTGGAATTTCTACGAATGGAAATTTACCGGTTAAATTGAATTGGAAGACTCCATTCATTGACGACACAAGGTCTTCACCAAGAAGAGGCTGGATGGCACTGAATGTTTGTTCTGGTCCACTCCCTGAAGATGGGGATCCACCAACAAATGCTGCCTTGCCACCTTTTTCTTCCAACTGCTTTTGAATTTCATTAGGGTCTTCACCATCAAGGAAGAAATCGGGAAGTAATGTGCTGCCTACAAAAGATATGTTGAAAGTAAAAAGCCTGCATGAGTATTAATAAACATTTGCATACCAGTAATTTAAAATTTTCTGTAAAATGGAGTAAAAAAAGTACATTAAGTATACTTAAGTGAAAACTAAGGGTAAGAAAGTTCTACCTGGAACACATGAGTAATGATCAAGGTCAGTAACTCCTGCATTTATCAGCACCTCATCATCAATGGCAAAGTGTCCTGTGTATTCTGAGCTTTTCTTGGTTAAGATGACGTAAGCTGCATCACTCATGATCTCCGGTTTTCTACATTGATCTGCCACACCAGATCCTCCCCCCAACATTTCCATGGCAGCAGTATAAATAGCTGTAATTATGTAATAGAATTTCCTTTTTTTTTGGTTGACACATTATATAAATCTAACAGTCAGCTGTGCCATTAAATTGTAAACCAATTGGTGAGTACAATGAAATTCAATACATCTATAATTTGTCAACTTTCAGGAGGCTGGAAGGAGCCTACATTCAAACAAATGAGCTTACTCTGATAATACTAATGCCATCTACATTTTGTTTGTCCACTGACATGCACCAATAATTCCTTGCAATGCTTCACAAGAAAAGGCTTTATAGTTCAGATTAAAGATGACACATGAAAATGCTGGCATCAATTACTATGCAATGTCTAAAGATTACCTGTACGAGGCCAGAGAGCATTAACTGCTATAGAAAGTGGTTTAAATTCTTCGGCCATTCCCAAAACACACATGGACATACCATATTTGGCCATTGTGTAAGCTAGAAAAAGTGTTAAAATACATGCATTTACACATCATTAAAATATTATACAAACGTATATATAAAGTTCCAAGATCTTATTCTATTCTGCTTCATTGAAACATTCATTTAAGTGCATTAAATTTTTTATTGCCTGCATGCGTAAATGATAATATATTAAAAAATTTAATCAAAAGAAATCAAATTTGGTTTACCAACCTACATGGTCCTTGAACCACCGTGGGTTCAAGTTGAGTGGTGGACTAATGTTAAGGATATGTGGATTGCTAGACTTCTGTAGGTAAGGCAGGGCAAACTTAGAACTGCAAGTAAAATATCACACCCAAGTAATTTTCAAGTTCAAAAGTAAATAAATTTGTTTATTATCATGATTTTATTTACAAATAATGTAATGATTTTGATACTATGCAAAAATATATAGTTCACTTCGATAAGAATGGGATTACAACATAAAAATAAAACTGTGTCAAAGGATAAGTAATTTACAGCACACTTTTTAAATATTAAGTCATTAGAATAACAAATGAAGCTCCAGACAATGCTAAGAAATAAGGCTCCAGACAGTGCTAAGAAATGCTAAGATATGATGCTCCTAACAATCTAACAACAATGCTAACAAATGAGGCTCCATACAATACTAACAATTTTTTTTTTTTCAAAATGAAGCTCCAGACAATGCAACAACAATGCTAACAAATGAGACTCCCGACAATGCTAAAAGCAAATCCATGAAATATGATGTTTGTACTCACCACATATAGGTTCCTCTTGCATTGATGCCATTCATGAGATCGTATCTCTTGGGGTCGGTAGCAGCAGTTCCTGTCAGACTAATGGCACTGGCGTTGTTGACCAGGATATCAATTCCCCCAAACTTGTCTGCAGCCTCCTTCATGGCTGACTGAATGTCATTTTCATTTCTGATGTCCACGGCACATGGAAGGCACTTTCCTCCAGCATCTTCCACTATTATTTATAATTAATTAATTAATGATTAATTAGTTATATAAGTCACCCAATACAGTCCAAGTCAACTCTGTGAAGCATGCTCTGAACATTCTGTAAGCAATTTCTATCCATTTTTCACCTTCATGATTTTATTTAGCATCTTTATTAAATAATACCTCAAGTCAAACTGAAAGGCTTCTTCTTAGGTTTGATATTTACACCATACTCTACATTCAAGAATTTTCTTAGCTCCTTCTTTAGTTACATAAAAAACACAATTGGGATCTTTGGGTTCATTTCATGGACCTTTATAAACTACATCTGGCTCAAGCATGAAACAAATAACACTCATGACTGCTATATGAGTATGCTGTGTTATGATTATATAAAATGAATTACTTGGAAACCAGTTTTTTAAATCAGGGACAGTGATAACCAGGTGCATATCTTAGCCAATAAGGTGTTCTACATGTCAATATGAATGAAATGTGTAGCTATTTCTTATTTCCCAGTATTTCCCGGGAAATACCAGTATTTCCTGGTAATTACCAGTATTTCCCACCGTTCTGGGAAACATGAGTATTTCCCAGTTTTTTTTGCCAACCCTGCTTTATTTCAATGAATAGTATGAAATATATGATACATGTATTATATAAAATCAAAACTGTGTATTCAAAATATTGATAAGAGTTAAAACAGAGAATTTCAGGAACATATATAATTGTAAAACCCAAATAATACTACATCTTTGTGACAATTCAAACTGTTAGAATCATGATAAAAATCAAAAGTAGATCTGTTACCCACCTTCTTTTGCAGCTGTGTAAATGGTTCCTGGAAGTTTGGGGTGAGGTTTGGTGGTCTTTGCTACTATAACAATGTTGGCACCATCTTGTGCTGCCTTCAGAGCAATAGCCTTCCCTATACCTCTGCTTGCTCCCGTAATGAAGAGAGTCTTTCCAGCCAACAACCTAAAAAAAAATATATAATTATATACAAATGTACATATTTGTTGATATATGTATATACAAACTACACTTTGGTTAGATTATTTGTAAATAATACTCAAAATCTGGTTAGTGCTAATATCTTGAATATAAATTCTGCTTGCAAATGTTTTTTAAAGAAAACATTAAATACAAAAGAGAAGTTGTGCATCTGGAATCATTGATTCAATCCCACAACTTAGAATTGTACCACTATTAATCTTAAAGCACATTAACAAACCTGGTTGCCATTAAAATTTTATAGTGAAGGGAATGGTACTATTGGAATGTGGCTAAAGCTTTAATAGCAAGTTCAGTAAAATTAACTACTGTACAGCAAGTACTAAATTCTGAGAGATTCCCACCCTTCCATACACATACCAAGAATTAAAAAAAGCTTGTCATATCTTAAAATGTATACTGTAGATTCCATATTTTTCAGAAGTACTTATTATTGCAAAATGGCTTTTTGATGTAAAATCGGGAGAACAATAATTTGCGAGTGGACGGTTGATCAAGGGATTTTGCATGGATTTTAGCACCATAAAAATAAAAGCAAGTAATTTTATTTCGCAAAAGGTGTTTCTAGCGAAATTATGTGATAATTAATCCTTGTGTATTATATATATTAAGAATCTACAGTATCCCAGGGGAAACAAGTCTTATACAGTTTTAAAATGTGCCTTGTTAATGTGCACAAGGTTTATCAATATGTTTTTTTTTAATCACTAATCACAGACAGGCACAAACTTCTAAAGTGGCAAACTTATTTTTGACCTTTGGCCTCTATCATGGCTATGTATCCCAAGTCTGATCTTGACCTTTCTAGTCTGGAGTCAGTGTCCTTAGCAATCATTAAAATAAAGTCTTTATCGTAAACAGTCTAAATGTCATAACCAAGCTTTAAGTTGGGGACAAATAGGGTTACCTAAGTTTTTGGAATTTGTGTCCAACTCCATTATCATATTGTCAATAAAATATGTTCAAAACAGATAAAACATTATGTTAAAAAATTCAGTATTATGGTCTAAAAATTCAAAGAAAAATTAATGGGTCTACAAATTGTTTTCTATCTATTAAGCATATATAGATACTTTTTAGCTTACCTGAGCCAAAGGCTCAAGTGAGTTTTTTTTTATCATCAAATATATATTTCCCCTCAGAGATAATCTTCACATTTGAACATTGAATTTGCATTTATAACTAAACTGCCTGGGGCATGGGTAAAAGGGATAATCAGAAAACTACATTACCCTGTATTTGGTATCCTGTAAAATAATCCAGGAAGCAACTTATATTATGAAACTTGTACATGAAATTCAAATACTGTTATGTAATTTTTTTTAATCGAACACTAGAAACTAACTAATTTTGATCAATAACAGCTAGAGGCTAAATTTCCTGATCACTGCATCCAGTATTTCTTGCATGGATTCAGTTTTCATAAAATATTCTTTTATTTTTGCCCGATATTAAACTATGAACCCTTTATTTCATCAAAATATGGTAAATGTCAATTTATCAAGTTTCTCTGCTCATTGCCAGTAATATTTAAGGAATCTTAGATTAATCTCATTTACTTTGGGCCCATTTATTACCTGAATCTGTCCCAAGAGATTACGATTTGAATGAATAGTGATTCATTTTACTTTTCTAAGGAACAACATAGCAATGGATTATTATTATTCATTCATCATACCGGTAAACAAAATGGTCTCTTAAACTTAGATATTTGAATTTCCTTTTCAATTTCTCCTTATGTGTCTTGTGACCCCATATATAAATCTATCTTAATCTCAGGGGCCATGATTTGAACAAACCTGAACATGTTGATTCTACTCAATATAGAAGCTGCCATTTAACTTCATCTTTTCTGTCAATGTGGTTTTTGAGAAGAATATTACTATATTATTATATACCTCACCCTATTTTCTGTATGTTTTAATCATCTTCCCTTGATAAAAGCAATGGTCTTCTGCATAAACAAACATGCCCCCCCCTCCCCCCTTTAATCGAAGATACTATAAGGCCATCTTTAAAAATTGTTTGTTAGCCCTCTTCTGGCAGACTGCCTAAAAGTGGCCCGACTCAAAACTTTTTTGTAACTTCCTGGAAACGGGTTTTTTTCCCCCTTTCTATACCTGGATTTTCTCATCCTGTCAATATGTATGTTGAAATTTTCCAGGAAAAAAAATTTCCTACCTACCTACCGACCCAATTTTTTTACCCTGAAACAGTAAGGCAAACAAACATTATTTTAAAGATGGCCTAAACATGTTCTACTTTAGTGGAAACCATATAGAAGTACATAAATTTAGCACTTATAATGCATATAATAATGATTATGCTAAATCTAAACAGTTGATAATAAACATTGCGCAAACTCATAATAATCTATTTATGTTTTATTGGCAATTAAAGTACTTTGTAGCTTGTTTGGATTAAAATTGACCTGTGTCGGTGATACAAAAGATCAACAGGCCCAGCACAATCTCTTGATTTAGCTATATAGCTTGAAATAATCATATAGCTTTATTAAGCTATTCAAAATAGCTTGATAAAGCTATTTATATGCAGTTTTTCAGAAAAATATTTTTGTAAGAAACAGACAAAAAGTCGCATGTATTTGACTATTCATATATGTATTATGGGCTATCAAGACAACAAGCAAAATCAAAGATAGTTTTAATACTGCAGCATTTAAATACTTTTGAGCAAAAGATGAATTTTTATTGTTTGGCTAACTGTACACTACCTTGTGTGAGTTGAGGCGTGGATAAGTATGATTGCTTCTCATTGTACTGAATTATTACCAATCAATTATCTTGCCGACCATAATTGGCCCCCTTTATAATTTCATTGAAGAAGTAACTGTATCAATTGCTTTATATAGCCCCAAAACTTTTAGAACTTTGAGTGCAAAGTCTCTTAAGGAGACCTGACACAATTTGATGACTGATTTTTACATGCATTATTTTCAGAAAAGTTCAAGGTTGAATATTATCACTGCACCAAGGTGTGACTTTTTGTGCATGCTGCGAAAAAAAACACATTTAAGAAAAAGGTGTGATAAAATAGCTAAATCAAGCTATTCTGAATAGCTAATAATAAAGCTATATATCTAAATCAAGCTATATAGCTAAATCAGGAGAATGTGCCGGACCTGATCAAATGTGAAAATTTTATACAAACGACAATGGACAAGACCAATGGACGCAAAGTCCACTTATGCCTTTGGCTCAGACAAGCTAAAATACGCTGGATTTATGCAAAGTTTGTCGCATTTTTGGAGGGAGGGGGGGTGGGTAACATTACAAACATATGCAGTGAAAACTGAGATAATTCGAGCTGTAAGACTTGCAGTGCGATGAGTGCTTTCTTCATTATACACAATGTCTCGAGATGTCGGTATGTTATTCTTAACCATAGATATATGCATACGCTACCCTGAATTTGCAGCCATTCTGGAAGTTACTGTGTTTATAGGTGTTTAACTTGTCCTGTCCCTCGAATCTTTGGACTTTGACACCTTCCAGTGCCGGTTGTTGACCCACTGAAATTCAAGAAGAGGAATTATACAAAACGAATATTTAATTTATATTTCTTTTAAAGAAAAGAATCGGTTTTCAAGAATGTGCAATTAAAACTCTTTTATAAAAATTGAAATTTTAAGTTCAATAGAATGGTTAATAATAATATTTGATGAAATTAACGTAAAAATGCGTAATTATCTCGAGTAGCATTTCTAAATTCTTAAAAAAAATCATTCAATGATGTTTACAGTTACTTTTGATATATAGGACGTCAGGTAAAACTATAGCCTCTTCCAAATCATCTAGAAGTCAATTCATTATGCAAATATTTTATGTTATATCAATTTATTATATTATAATTTGGCTCCCAAAAGACCTCTGTAAATGAGGATATTCGATAATACATGCATTTTTTCTTGGCTTGTCAGAAACTTGGACTATAATTAATATAGGCTAGTACTGGACATGTAATGTGGTAATGATAGTATGAACAGGGACCTATATGTACATTTTACATAGTATATACGTCCATGATATGAATATGTAACTGGCGAGGGAAAGAATGCGATGAACCAGAGCAGGATCCCTGAATAATACTATAGTCAGGTGCTCTATCAACTATAAGCTATCAGCTAAGGCACTACCCTCTTCACCTCATTTCTCCCTCCTTAAAGGTCTCCCCCCCCCCCCCGAAAAAAACCAACCCAGACTCTTCCCTTGCTGGTCCTTCACCTATCACTTCTACTGCATATCATATGGCACAATTTGTAACCATCAGGGGGAAAGATGCAACAGACCACACCAGGATTTGGACCCTGGCCCCCCTGATTCACTAGACAGGTGCTCTACCAAATGACCTATATGGTGATGAAAAAATGAATATTTTTATAAGATCAAAGTCACATGAATGAGACCTTAATAAATGATCTTTGCAATGAAATTTTAGTGCCACCTGACTCTGGATTGTCATATTTTAATACTTGACACAAATGTTGCTCCCAAGCAGAGGTGTTATAAGATTCAAAAAAGATTCAGGCCTTGGAAATCTGCAGTATTTTTTTTTTTCTTTTTCTTTTTTTGAAAGATGGCAAAGTTCCTTTTAAAGCTATTTTCAAGTATGGCCTTTTGTAAGTTGGGTGTATCAATCTCAGGATAGTTATAGTTTTATTGTTTAACCCTTTCGACGCCAAAGCGACATAAATGTCGTTTACTGTGTCAACGCCAAACCGACAAAAATGTCGTTTTTAATAGATGTTTTACATTTTCTTTTATTAACCATATACTTACGTGTAATTAAACACAATGATATTTATATTTTGACACAAGTATAGGTCTTTATTTTTACATAGGTACTGGTCTAAATATGACGTCATATTTCTTACGTTGACGTTAAATAATGACGTCAGTTTTGGAGTACGCTAGTATTGTAAATAAAGTATGGCGCACTTTCAATTAGCAATTTTATGTTTCATTGTTGCCGGAAAGTTTTACACTTATTTTCTCCGTGCCTACATGCATACATATTTTTGAGAGAGAGAGAGGGGGGGGATACGTGTTCTTTATATTATAAGTGGTTCTTTATTTTGAATAACAACTTATAAAATGTATTGAGCCATTTTATTCCCTAGTTAATCATATTGATATACACGATTACACAGGCTCAGGTGTAGCGTCGATTTCCAAATGATTGGGAGGGGGGGGGGCAGAGATAATTGACAAGCAAAAAAAAAAATTCGAATAAAAAAGCAACCGTGAAAAGTTCAACCTGAAAAAGAGACCCCAGCTTTGTTCGGATATTAATACTGATAACATGGGATATTTGAAGCTACTACAACAACAAATGAGGAGGGGATGGGACAAACAGCCCCTATATAAATAATTCTATACTAAATTAACACACAATTAAACGGAGGATTGGGGCACAAATTTTTGCAAAATGAATAAATAAGTAAACAAATTTTGCTATAAAAGAATTTGAATAATGGATCTTCAAGAGCATTATACTGTGTGCATAAGAAAATAACATTTACATCGTCAGTGATTTTAATTATTCTTGAAAATATGTATGAAAAAGAAGAAACAATAGATTACGCTGTAAAGAAAGTATGATTGAACTTCTGATAAAAGTTCATATGCGACATCTTTTGAGAATGAATCACTGATCTAAAAGGAAAAAAAAAAACTTTTACATGTAACAAGTGGTTATGGGTGTCATTCAGATATTATAAAAAAAAAAATGTTCAAAATCATCAACCAAGTCACACCACTCGGAAGGCACAAAGTCAGTCAAGAAATCTATACATTATGGGAAAGATGAAAATTAAAGCAACAGTGATGATTTTAGCAAAAGAAAAAAAAAAGGGAAAAAAAAACCAGACTCGTGCAAAACTTTGATGACCGTATAATATGTAAGAGAGCGGTTTTTTTTTTTTTTTTTTTTTTAACTGATTATTGTAATAAATTAGCCCTGCTTGGACGTCGAGTTTCAGCTCTGATATCTCGACACCCCGGATATCTCGACATTTTCTGAAAGTTCCGTTGACTTGTACATGACCTTTAGGAAAAAGTACACACGCACACCCTTACACACACACCTTTCTGCTTTTAGAGAAAAAAAAAGTTTCTAATCCAATCGTGTGGTAACAACCAAAAATACAACTCATGTTCTGTAATTTCAAGATTCCGAGGAAGTGATATTTTTAAAATAATAACTATGAAAATGGCTAAGTCGCCTATGAAGAGAGTCGAGTACACCGATGGGGTTTCAAACATTAAATGGATATTGCTTAACTGCATTGCCATATACAAAAAAAATAAACGTGTGTTGGACGTATTATTTAATTATATGTCCATTTTATTGTATCGAAATATGAAAAGCTAAGATTTCAGGTTAGCTGATGTCACGGAGGAAGATGAATAGGTGACCATAATAGCGTAAACATAAATTCAAGTCTCAAGTTCAAGATATTCAGTTTCAATTTCAGATTTAATTCACTTTGCTCAAAAAAGCCCAGCTCCGTTAAATGTGCATAATTATATAGAAAAGAGCCAAGAGCAGTACAAGTATCTCTTTGATCAATTTTTTTTTATTTAAGAACTTTTCGAAAATCTGAGTTGGAAACCAGGCAATCGCTGTAAACATATTAGTAATTAATCTCTCGCGAGATTTTTTTAATTCCAGGAATTCATGCAGAAAGGTCAATATCGGATCAAGCGCAATGCTACAAGGAATTCCTTTTCTCATAGGATTGAAATGACGAGCTTTAATAAGCTTGAATATGACACGTGACTGACGGCTATATTTCTATGTCCAGCAGGTGAAGTTAGATCACGAAGGTCAAATCATTCCGACATCATTAAATGGCAAGATTGAAAATATGCAGCTTACGTCATTTCCATCTGTTAGAGTCAAAACATTCATTCTGATGATAGAGAATGGGTCTGAGAAAACATGGGATTGAAATTCATTTTCAATCCACCTCAGCTACTCTTGTACGCACTGTGTTAATGATAGATCCAGAAGACATATAATGTCAATTTCGGAATAGTTTGACATTTATATAAATCAGGTAGAGTTTTCTGTCCAATGTTTTTGTTTTATGATTGATTGATTATTATTGTTTAAAGCCGATAATAATCAATCAATCGTAAAAAAAAAACATTGGACAGAGAACTCTAATTTATGTAAATTTCAAATATTTCGAAATTGATTTAAGAAATAACAAGAGGACGACCATTTGATTTCGAAGGGGGGGGGGGGGGTAGTCCTTAAAAATAAGCAAAAAGTTTTTGAAAAGCCCCCTCCTCCTTTTCCCGTTTTTGCTTGTCAACCGTTTTTCTGTGAAGAAGACTGAAATAAGATAAAATCTCTTGACATCCTTGAAATAAATAAACGATGTATTCTGAAGGCATGGACATAAATAAATTTAACCCCCCCCCCCCCCTTATAATCAAATGGCCGCCCCATGAAAGAATACATCTATAAGTTTGAAATTGGATTGAAAATTCTTATCTACATAATTTTCAAACTATTCGGGAATTGAACCTATTTGACTTTTGAAGCATACATTAATACTTTGTCTATGAAATCAGCTTGTCAATGAGTGGATTGAAAACCAACCTCAAACTTGAATTTCAATCCACTGTTTTCTCAGACGTCCGTGTCGAATTGTATCATTGTCGATCATCAAATAAGATGGAAATGGCTTAAGATATATATTTCCAATCTTTCCAGAAACTGTTCCGCGGTCTAGGGAATCTATTTTACAGAAACCAATTTGAATGTTTTCTTTTTGAGATTTCAGTTTCGGCCCTTTTAAGAAATGATGTACGATTGTTGTGTCCAAGTGATAAGCGTCGAGAGCACAGGTAAAAGGAAAAGAAGACCACTTTTGATAGAGTTTGATTTACTTGGAAAAAGCTAAGAAATTGACTAAAAGTTTCTATTTTCATGAATGGAATAACCTTGCACAAAACAATGTCTTGACATCAATATGCGCCTCTTTTTTATGTTTTTATTCCATATCTAGAACAGGCGAAGAAGTTGAATTGTATGAACAATGGAAACTTATTTAAAATATTTTATCAACGTATTTAAAAAATATATCCGCTTGGAAGTAGAAAAAGATTTTTTTTTTTTATTTATGACTTTTTATGAACAGAATAAACTTTAAGAAAAAAAAATTCATGCATCATAAATTCATCTGAATTATTTTTTTCCGTTAGAATCAATCGGTGATACAGAGATACTTGGGTGTTGTTATCTTCTCTTAACAAAGCTAGAGGGGAAAAAGAAACACGCTTGTGGTGGGGGGGGGGGATGCATGCTTATAACTGAAAGTAATATTTTTTTTTATATCGGAATCAATTTGCTTTTTTGCGAGGGGATGGCCCGCTTTATGCGCGGTGCCCTTGTTTGGGTTGGATTTCTTATTTCTCTAAGGGCCATCCGTGTATTCTTTTTGTGTGTGTGTGTGGGGGGGGGGGGGGGGTGCTTTATATACTTTATTATTTGAGCTAGAGTATTAAATATAAAAAAAACCTTCTGTTGAATTCTATTATATTTTTTCGACTGAAAATAAACCGATTCCAGATCCTAAATTTCTAGACTCCCCCCCCCCCCCTCCCTTACGAAATAACTGCATCTGCCTCTAGAAGTATGAACTAAGGCGTCTTTTTCTTAGGGCATACTAGTAGCTTAGAAGAAAAAAATAAAATATTTCTCAAGTTTTTGTGTGTTAAAACGATTAAAATTATTTAAATAATTCTAAGAATATTTAGAAACTGAATTTGACGCACGCGACATAATTAGGTTTTTAGTCAGTAACGTCAACGTAATTTTGAAGTGCCTTACTAAAATGCTTATAAAATACTGAAAAAAATCAGATATTTTAAAAAAAGTTATTTATGCATGTATTTGCATTCAGAAAGGGCCAGGCTATTTAAGGACCCTTTACTCGTGACGGCAGTCATATATTTATATAACATTTAATTTATTTTTTGAAAAAGCTTAAGATTAAACTCTCTTTTGTTATATTTAAAGACTTTCCTTGCATATGCTAGCTACAGGATAAATATTGGCTAAATTTACTTTATGGCGATTAAAAACTACTGGAATGAATATGACTTTATTATACGAATTTTCCTTGAAAACTATAAACATCCTATTACACTGGTTAAACAGGTGCTTGTTTCACTATCAATTTGACGCTTTTTTCTGAAGCAAATTATTTTACGTCTCAGTTGACGTCATAGTACGGCATCCATGACGTTATAGACGCAACTATATTCGGCGTCGAAAGGGTTAATGTAGAAAAAGTTAGTTGAATTTTCAGTTCTTTTTCAGCATGAGTCAGAGAGGAGCAGCACCTCAGAGGAGGACCTTTGTTGTGGGAGTGGGAACCACCAAATTTGAGAAACCCCTCACCAAGGACTGGGACTACCCAGATATGGGGAGGGAAGCAGGTATTGATGCACTTGCAAGCTTGATTCTTGTCATACTGTGAAAGATGGATTATGCTCAGATAAATTCACATAGTTACATTTGTCACATCAAGTAGTCTCCCCCTCAATCCTTTTAATCTGTGAGACTTGTCTGTCTGTCACCAGAAACAATGCATGGGTCCTAGATTATGTATTTTGTAACTCTATGGATCCTTTAAAATTTATGTTAAAGAGCTAGGTTCACTTTATGCATAAAATGGCCCTGTCCTTATATCAATTAATTGGTTATCACCCTCTGTCCCATTTTATATATCAAAATAAAGTAGAGACATAGTGCTTTCATTTCCTATAACAAAATTTCTTTTTGAGAATCCAGATATTGGAAAACAGGCTTTGAGAAAATGCAATGTTCTTGAATTTTGCAGAAAACATGCATAATTTGACTACCTTCAGCAAAGAATTAAAATATGAGCACAGCCCACGATCCAAAAACTAAAACATGTTTTGTGATCTTCAGAAAAAGATCTTTTATTATGTAATTGCATATTTTGGATCAGAGGTTGTGCTCTATATGAAATATTGAAAAAATACCTCAAATTTTGGCCAATTTCAAGGGAATTTACAGGATATGGGAAGAATGACGCATTTATGACGTCATAATGCATTGACTAGAGAGAAAATTACGTCATTTTCAATAGATACATGGTCACAAAGGGTCCAAGTTATAAATACTGCATTTTCCACCAAATCTGAGCAGTTTCGATTTTTCAGAAATTCTCACTGCCGAAAAAGGCCCTAAGTGGCTCTTGCTCTTTGTCAACTTCAAAGGTCTTAGTCTGTGTTATGTAGTCTTCAGTCAGTATTACAATGATGCTCAAACATAACACAAGTCATATGGTCTAACATTTACTTGCTGAAGAGGGGTACCTAGTTTGTGTAATCTTGTGTAATTTACAGTGAACATTTTGATTTTTTTGCGTTTATATTACACACACAATATACATATGGATGAGCCACTTACTATGAATAGATTTAATTGTCTGTTTTAACCATGGTCATTGTAAATTTGTTTTGAAGTTATGCTGGTATTGATTAAAGTCTAAAGCTGTTTATATCTTATCCCCTGAAGCCAAGAGAAATTGCAGTGATAATTTTATGAGTCCCTTGTTTAAAATTGGTTGAAAATATAATTAGTGTTGTGATACACTGAAACTTTATCTACTTACATTTGACTAATTCCAGGTCTTGCAGCCTTGACAGATGCTGAGATAGACTACCACCAGATCCAGGCTGTTGTGGCCAGTTACTGTTATGGCGAGCCCACATCTGGACAGCGAGCTGTGTATGAGCTGGGCCTCACTGGTGTGCCTGTCTTCAATGTCAACAACAACTGCTCCTCAGGATCCAGTGCCCTCATGCTGGCACGTAGGCTAGTTCAGAGTGGAACTGAAGACTGTGTTCTAGCCTTAGGTAAATGGTCAAAACTCAGTTTTTGTATAATTTAGATACTTTATATAGAGCTTAAACTACAACTTTTTCCTTTAAATATTTTGCAAAAAGGTAACAACTGGTATTTCATTTTGGGGGAAAAAAACAAATAGCACTGTTTTTTACTCTTTAAAAGACACAAAAGGAACTAACAACTGAAACAGTGATATGTCGACCAATTGTATGTATATTTTCTCTTGTAGGATTGTTCATTTACTAAAAGAATTATTTTTGTAATTTCCAGGCTTTGAAAAAATGGAGAGAGGTTTATCAGAAAAATACACAGATCGAACTTCTCCTGTAAAACGACATATGGACCACATGGTCAGCATCGGTGCGGAACCAGGTCTGATTCAACCAAGGATGAACAACATGACCTCAGATGTTGTCAAACTCTATGCATACGCAGCCAGGGAATACTTAAAGAAATATCCCGATACTACAGTGGATGACTTTGTAAACATTGCTTATAAAAATCACAAACAGAGTGTCAACAACCCCTGGGCTACCATACAGAAAGAGATCTCTAAGGAAGACATTAAGTCCAAGCTAATGCTGTGTTTTCCCATCACATTCTGGATGTCTGCTCCAACAGCAGACGGTGGAGCTGCAGCTATCGTCTGCAGCGAGGAATTCATGGTCAGAAACAACTTACAGCGACAAGCAGTGGAAATCCTTTCTCAGCACATGGTAACTGATACCAGTGCGTCTTTTCAGGAGAGTTTCATGGATTTGTCTGGCTACCACATGGCTAGAGAGGCAGCCACCAGGTGCTACAGAGATACTGGATTGTCTCCCACAGATGTGGATGTTTTAGAAGTACACGACTGTTTCTCATGTAATGAGCTGTTCATGTATGAAGCCTTGCAGTTAGCCCCAGAGGGTAAAGGAGCAGAGCTTATAAGAAATGGTAAATGGGTGACAAACCGCAACAATGGACAGATATGTGTTTTAAACAATAAATGGGTTGTGAATCCTTCTGGGGGACTGGAGTCCAAAGGTCATCCAATCGGTGCAACAGGTGAGTTAGATGAACTAGGACAATATTCATAACCATGCAGAACAAAAATTTACAAAAAAAAGCACTAGCTAAGATTTTAAAATTTCCTTTTACTCTTGTCTATATATGCTGACGTTATAATGTACTAAAAATAATAAGTTAATGAGAACACTGCATAAGTTTTTGGAATATGTACCCAATATATCTTTTGACATTACAGATAATAATTTGACAGCATAACTTAATGGCACTGGAGATAATGTATTTTCATGCCATACCTCTTTCTATATGCACAGAGCAAAAATTTTATTGTGTTTAATAAAGTTAACTTTTTTTTTGGTTCAGGCATAGCACAATGTGTTGAACTTGTTAACCAGCTCAGAGGACTGGCTGATAAGAAACAAGTGGATGGGGCCAAAATAGCCATGCAGCATAACTTTGGTATAGGGGGTGCTGCAGTTGTAACCATGTACAAGAAATACCAGCCACTTCCAATGTCTGCCAAACTGTGAAAATATCAAAGCAGAAAACAACTCTTGCCTCAATATGAACAGAGAATTTGCTATGCTTTTAAGTTCAATTTGTATGTTCTAATCTTAATGAACATAAATTAAGAAATGGCTGTGATTTTCAATAGATTTCATTGTTTTTGTTGCTATATATAGCATAATTTTTTTGCATAATAAAGGTAAAACATTAAAATTACCTAGCTGGTACATGTCATGCATTTCATAAACTAACAGATTTAAATATAATTTTAAAATTGTAATGTGCAGTTTGGGTAATTTTTTAATGAAATACATGTAACCTAGTGTAGTATTTAAACACCATTGACCAAATATTAATTTTGAGCAATACATGCTACATTGTATTATTTTCTTCAGCATATTTGTTGGTATAATAGTTTACAATCAATATATTATTGGAGAATGCTGAAATTGTTATATGCTATTTTGCTTGTTTATAAATCAAAGTATCACTCATACTTTACTTTGGGGAGATGATTTGTTAACTGCTGCAGAGAAAGAGTACTTTTTCTCAGTTGTACAAATATTTATCAGAGAGTCATATTTGAATTGAAACAGTATTTTTTTTTAATGTGATATTACTAAGTTTTCATTGTTAAACTCTTAACTATATCTGTAAAAGTTTCCATTGGCAGGTAAAATTATTTATTTGTTTAGTACATCACTGTTTAATGTTAAGAAGTATTATTTTATTTTATTTATTTATTTTTTTTTTTGAAGGTTTAATTTTAAAATTCCAAGGTTATGAAAAATTGTTCATAGTAAATCAGCCTTTTATTTCTTAATTCCAAGTCCTATAAATATTTAATTCTTTTGATATTTTATAGTACAGTAATCATTTGCAAGACCTCTTCCACTCATTCATGTAATATATGTGCTAATACATGTATATTGTTAACATTTAAACAGTGCTAAAATTTAAAAATGCACAAATTTAATAGGGCTATGATACATGTACTATATAGTATTTAAAAAATACATACAATTATGATTTTGCATATATAAGGATGTCAATCATAATTTTGTTTTCTGTAATTAGAAATGGAACTTTAATTACTGTGGAATCATTTAAATTCGTGGGGGACAATGTTCGTGGGCATGCAAAATTTTATTGGTTCATGGGGATGTAATTTCGTGGGCAGCTCATTTATTTGGTAGATTTAATTAATTAGTACGTTGGCAAAATAATTGTTCGTGGGGATGTAAATTCGTGGGTAAGGGTCACCCACGAAATCCACGAACATTGATCCCCCACTAAGAATGATGATTCCACAGTACCTCACAGTAATCATTGATTGATTTAAAAAGGATATATTTGAGTGTTATATTTTTACATAAATAATTATTAATGACCTGTGACAATCATTGAAAAAAAAAATTTGAATGAAATATATTTGTTCATGCATATATACTGAAATGAAAATCTGTCAATGTGGATAATCCTCTTATTTGTAAGAGTTGCTACAATTATCCCGGTTTAATTTTATTCAGATAAAATGGTAATTTATTATGGCTTTGTAATTCTTTATCACTTTGTAGCAGCATTACAGCCAAAAAATTTTCTGTTACTTTTAGGAATACTTTAACATACTCCATACTGATGAGTAGCCACTTAAAGAATACAGAATAAATTACTATGTGGAGTCCAAGATGGATCTGTGGGTGCCATAAAGTCAGATGTTCATTTGTTTAGGCAGTAAGACATATCTTGTTACCAAGTTGATAGGAATGAAGATCAAATCAATGGACAAAGAGAGATAACTCTATAAAAACGTTCCTAAATGGATGAATAACTCATTGACAAATGTTCCCAAATGGAGGAATGTTTTATCGCCTGCAGCAGAAGAACCAGAGTCTAATTTTTGTCACATGAAGGTTAATCAGTGTCTTTATCTGCAAGTGATGATTGTTTTTGAATTAAACATGGGTGAAGTCCCCATTCACTGAAGGCGTGAATTTTTATAAAATGGATACTTCATTTGAGTTGAAAATACACGTTATTCTGAGAAAATAGAAATGTTTATAATTTATTATATTTTGATTGTTCCCTTATGCAAATACAAGGATATTATTCATTTTGACAGATAGTTGGATAATTACACTGTCGTTCAGAAACATCTTCACATACCGGTATTTCTTAATTACAGTAGTCGCATCCCTCTGCAGGACCTTTGTTGATTGGTTAATTTCCTATTTGATATTTATCTCTGACAATGGGAGGAGACATACTGTTCATGGAAGGCTATTAATCATCTTTGAATCATGAAAAACCTTTCTGGACCTTGACTGGTTCATCACATCTTGGTACAGTAAAATTTGCCTAATCCAGATATTGTCTTTCACAAATCTTGTTTTTAAAATACGATTGAAAGTTCTAGTCCCTTTCAATTAAATCAAGTGTTTAAATGTTGTCTAACACAGAGCTTTTCTAGTCCAGTCAATATCTTTGGAACCACTATAGCCAGGATTAGACAAGTTTTACTATATGATGTTGCTCAGGATCTAGGAGTTTGAAATGAACCAGATTCAACATTATTTCAAAGGTCAAGGTCACTTCAATGAAATAAAAAAAATTACTTAGGCCATATCTCTTGAAACTTTCATTTATATTATTTGTTGCTCTGGGTGACCCAGAGGTCATTTATGAGGTAGAATCAATATCATACATCAAAGTCAAGGCAACTGGAAATGGAGCAAATGTAGTCATGTAATTGTGTACAAAGCATTAATTAAAATGGAACTCTTTGAAAACTTTAATGCATTCAACTTTGAGCATGTTATACCGTGAATTTGGGGAAGGAAGGACATCTAGATGTTTTAGGATAAAAAAAAAATCCAGTTTTAAAAATACTTCAAATTATAGAAAAATGTGCATATCTACTATCATTATTCTAAACTATGTTTATTCAAACACAAATTTTTAAATACATGTATAAAATACAAGTAACTTTACTTACTGCATACAGTCAACAAATTCATAGGCAATTGATTTAATCAAATATTACTCACAAAATACATTTTAAATATGAATTTTTATTCCACCTTTCCAGAGATCTGTTGTGGTTGTTCACTATCTGCTAAAGTTTCTGAGTCTTTGAGAGAGTCTTTTGATTTTAGTCTTGATTTGCAGGAAAACGTAAGAATAAAACTGCTGACCGCCACAAATGTCAAGAGCATGCGTAAACCCCTAAACCAGGCGGGATAAGACTCTGTCAAGGCATCATGACATCCAACTCCAGTCAGCCCCAACATGACAATGATTTGTGAGACAGGCTCAGGACACAAGAGAGCACTAAAAGCCACCAGAGAAGGGACAATACTGATTGTCATATTCTTCATGTTGTCCCATTCTTTTGGAGTTGTCTTTCCTTCACAAACACCAAATCCCCATCTCACTCCACCCAGGAAAGACAAAATGCAAGCTCCATATACCATCTGGGCATTTGCTAAGAATGCCACAGATGACTGTCCAAAGATCATCATTAATCCTGGGGCTCCTACAAAAGGAATAAGTCCTGAAACCCCCAAAACCAATGCTGGGTACGGGCAGTGTCGTAGACCTGTCACTCCTTCTAACACAAGTCCTGTATTACCTTTTCGGAAACCACTGGTTACACTTGCAATTTTACTTGATACATTGTTAATCAGTGTTCTGAAACCTCTTCTGCTCTGTAATATAACATCATGTTGAGCTACTTGCTGGGGTTTGGATACTTTCCTATGAATACTGCTGCCATTTGAGGCTATTCCCAGGGAAATCAGTCTGGTTCTACTGAGAAGAAGACTGGCTGCTTGTCTATTTATTACTGAATGTCCTCCAAGAATAGCCATGCTTCCATACATCAACCTTTTTGAACATAAAATAATTAGCATTATATACCATGACCCAGAAATATAACTGACTTACAGATTTTCATCCTGGATCCTTGTTATTATTTAAAAGAGCATTTTTTTTTTTAAGAAAGAAATGTAAGTTCAAGTGTTCAACTGAATTCCTCTTTAGAATAGGCATGTGACAAGAAGTGTCCATACTACTGTACTACAGTAAAAATCTATTATTATTTTTTTCACCTACGTGATAAGTCAAAAGTTGAACCTCAATGCAGCCTGCAGCTTCCGACTGCCTCTGGCTCTGGAAAGATGATGATCCTACTTTCACTTTTGCAATGACAAAGACCGCTTACGTTAAAAGACAAGATCGGAAGAAACGAATGACGTAGCTATAGACAACTCTCCGTGCACTTGGGCGTAACTAATCATAAAAAACAAATTCTGTTTTTAGTATAAGAGTTTTATCACATTTAGAGAAATCCAAATTAAACATACGTTGTTGCTGTAAGTGGCATATAATTTCTAACATGGCGGCTTTTACGAAAACATGCTGAATGACAGTAGTCCATGTAAAATGTGATTTCTCAGTGTCTCAGTGAGTTACAGTATGTATCTACTAAATTTTCAGTAATAAATGTGCTATTTGATTATCTTTATATTGTTACAATCTCCGCAAAGAGCACATTAAGCAACTTATTCACTCTAGCATAAACATTGACTGATTGAGAGCTAAACAGTAAACAGTGAACACTGTTTACTGTTGTATGGCGACTGGTGAGACATGGTGAATCTTATTCATGCCTCATTTCACACAAGGTTTACAGTTACCAAACAAGGGAAATATATATATTTTGTATATTCTTTTAAGAGCTTTTACATGTAGCACTTTTATGCATGACCCCACCATAAATATGGCTTGGACATCATTTTTATTTGTTTATTACTATCACCCTTTACATGCCCATCTCCTCAGTCTGGTCGGACCCCTAAATGGGTGTAAACGGAAATAAGAAAACCATACCCCCAAACGGGGGTACGAGCTAGATAGAATGTTCTATCGTTAAAATGATATTTCCTACAGACCAAGTTTAATGATAGAATTCGTTCCGTGTATTGGCAATGTTTGCAAAATAAACACGGGCCATAACTCAAACTCTGTGCGTTTTCTATGAACAATCCAGAGAGTTCCGAATGTCAACATGGTGTTAAATTTGAAGCGAGGAAAAAACGTTGAGAAAATGAGTTGAATTTTCGTATTTATATGAATTATTTTTTAGGTTAAAAGGCATATACAATCTCAAAAAGGTTTGTTATTATTAATATGATAGTTATTTTCAGTGCAACTCATTTTGTATTCTTCGAAATTATTTTGGAGTGGATCCACTCCGATTTGCTACATTCAGACCTGTTTACTCTTACGATTTCGCCGTATTTTGTACGGATTTTCAGTCCAAAATACGTCTCACGTTTTGCTATAATGAAAATACGGAAATCCGTTCATATGGATTTTAGCAATTAGTTTTCGTTATCTGTCTCAGTTTGAAGCTTTTTAATCGCTAAAAAAGAGAAAAATTTCAAACATTGAAGTTGCCAAAACACGGTGGTTTAAAAAAAAATGACAGAAATAACTCAAAAGAAAGCAGGGTATGATGTTTTGCTTTGTTATTAAAGCATGTTTTGGTAATCAGAAATGTAGTTGTTTTCTAGTAATATATGTAATTCGATGAAAAGTGAAATCTTACGGGCAAATGCCAAATCTCACTGACAAATGTAATAAAAAATACTGAGAGACAACAGTTAGGGTAAACAGGTCTGTACATTGCAAGTGTATGGGACGTATTCTAAATGTGGTGAGGGCTTGTCCCGAGACACAGTTAGTTTATTCTAACTAGGTACGAGCATGCACAGATGCTTTAAAATGTGCATATTTCACGCAAAAAGTAGGGGTTTACAAAAAACGCCGTTGCAAAGTAACAGATCATTTTTTAAATGTAAAACCACTTGGAAATGATAGATTAAAGGTGTTTCAAGAGTTTGTATTTTACAAAAATACAACTTTATTGTACAAATCGGGATTTATTCACTGGCAAAGTTGGCGATCTTTTACTTGTTGACATCGAGGTATTTAAGATAAAATATGCGATAAATAGATATAAGCAACAAATATTAAATTGAAATTATAAAAAAATATATATTATTCTGCCTTATATCTTTTATTTCTATAATAAAATGCATGAAAAAGTGGTGTTAATATTGATTTAGTTATGATCATGGGTTTCAGTCCGCGTTTCCTCTGACTAGCAATCGACGGTCTTTATTCTCGATAATCATGCCAAGGAAGTGTAACAAAAATACAGTTAAAAATAAAATTCAAATGCAATTTATCGTATTCATTGTCTTTTATATCTTATAAGAATTAAATAAAAAGTTAATTAAGCATTTTTTGGAAAATAAATACGATTGTTTGAGGGGAAAACACGATTATATTTTATTTTATTTAAAACTAGATTCTAAATTCATATTTTCCTCATTCTTAAAATATTTGTCCTTGTGTTTTAAATTCCATAATTTAATTAAAAAATCTGATTTGAGACGTCACACAAAATAATAAATTATTTCATGAAATGACGGGAGATATTACGTTATTCCTACAGTATAAATTCAAAATTAACTTGATTTTTCTTCTGTTGACATTTTACCAAGTTCATAGCAGAAATAACAATATTATCGATCTTTTTTCCTAAGGTACCGTATATACTTGCCAATAAGTCAATCTGCCTATAAGTCGGTTGTATTTTTTGAGGTTATTTTGGAGGGATTTGCTTTTGACCCACTTATAAGTCGGGACAACTTTTTGCCAGAATCAGTTGACAATTTCAAATCTATGGTCTAATGTTTTAACCTGGTTTTGATTAATATTTTCAGAAATGACGCCGATATTTAATTTTAAATCATTAATACATAATGCACACTTCACATAAAAATAAAGTTATCAAATTATGTAAATACTTATACTTTATGTATAATCTTAGAATACATAAATGATATAATATATACAGACTTTGTTCAATGATAATCATGGGAAATGTTTATAAAATAACTATATTTCGCCGTCCAGTAAAATACTAATCTCTTTATGACTTGCCTATAAGTCGGACATAGAGTTTTGGATGAAAATTTAACTCCCAAAAAAACGACTTATAGGCGAGTATATACGGTAGATGATATGAGCAAGTTTGTTTATACTGGATACGGCAAGAGTTACTGTTCTTGCGCGTTGCATGACGGGATGGAAAACCCTCGTTTGAGGGTATACCCCCGTTTGAGGGTTCGACCAGACTGCTCCTGTCCTTCCATCCAAGAACCAATGATCTTCTCTCCTTCTATCTGTCCTTTACACTTTGTGTTTAGCTCAGTGTCAAAGAAACTATATTTTTCCCCTTCAAAATTAATTCACATGCAGATATATATGGATGGGAGCATATTCAACTGCTCATAACTTTGTGACCTTGACCCATTCTATGACTCTGTCCTCAATATTCCTCATCTTGCTTAGTTCTTTAATTAATTAGCCTACTAATCAAGACATCTTCATCAAACTCTGTATGCACTGATAAGAATTGGTGAAAGCAGTTTTCTTACCTTTCTTGTGACTTTGAACTTCACTTTATGATTTACTCAAACAATGTTACAAATTGTAGGAACAATTCAACAGCATCATGATTTTCTACCCTATAATGCATATGTATTATAGGTAATGTATATTTTATTTTTTTTTAAAGTTAATTTCTTAAATTATCCAGTCTTTGAAATAACCCGGGAGTCCTATGCTGGGGATCTGGTAAAGTTGTGGACTGACATCTAAAAAAAATGAAGATTTGCATGCCTGTGGGGCATGTGTAATGTTTTCTCTATTGTAGACTGGCTTTTGCATAAATATTTTTATACAGTGGATTGTCTATACTTTGAGTTCTGATCGACAATAAATGTGTACGTATCTTTATTTTCTTCAAGACTACCCTTTTTCTATTTTTGATAATTTCTGTTTGGTTTTTTGTTATGTGTTTAAACATGGTATAAAGTAGGAAAGGAGCTTTAATAGTGAAATAAATCAAATCAAAAGAAAATATTTATATCAGAATTTATCATTACCCCCCCCCCCCTTTCCCCCACTCCTCTTTCAACATGTTCAAATGTTCAATAATCATGTACTAAATTCAAATTTCTTATAAAAATACCATTGATTACAAAATTGTTTTGAAGATTTATTGATCTTTCTTTAACATCTCTGTTTTTACATTGTTGTTACATAGTGCCATACATGCAATAGTCAATAGCTGGTCAAGTGAGGGGGTAAAATTTATTTTCTATATAGCTAACTATACATTGTAATTAAACCAGACAAGTACAAGAATGTACTTAATAAGTTGACCAAAGAAGTGCATACAGAGTTGAAATCAATTTCACAGGTGTCATATTCAATGGACCGTAACTAACTAATCCCATCGTCTTTCTACTGTTGTTGTAATTCACGAAATAAACGTCATTCATGCCACATTGTGTATAGAAACTGTAAATAGGATTTCTACACAGAATCCAAAATTCAGTATGTTTATAAACTGCAAAACATGAATTTATGGCTATGTATAGGTAGGCAGGCATTAGGTTTGTGGCTATGAGCATGACAATTAACCTGAAAGAAATTGATTTTTTTCTTTTTTAATTCTTGAAAAATTTTGGGTGGCAGTCTTGTAAAAAGAGTTGTTCATGTGTCTCACTAACACTGATGGCATAGTCAAAAAGGAGGCAATTTTTTTTCTTCATAAAACCGAAGTCAAATTTCAAGTAGGGCATGTAAAAATTGGTAGGGGTTTGGTAAAAGTAGTAGATGAACATGCCGAACAAGCATGTGTTGAAAAAAAATGTTGTGAAGACTGATAATCATCATGATACCTTGAATCATACCTCTGGCTGGAAAAATAATTTTTTCCCCTCTGTTTTATTAATACTTAGAAAGCGAAAGTGAAGATATGTGGTCAGATGAGGATGGAAGTAGTAGGGACTCAGTTGTAGATCTTACAGATTCCCCACCTCTTCAAACCAAAAAGAGGAAAAGGGACATAGTACCCACAAAATCAATAGGCTTAACAAAAGTAAGTATGGTATACACTGCGTAAATTTTCTAGTGGCTAGTACCAAAGAGATCTTTTGATTTGATTTTAGAACTTACTTCAGTTAGTTTTAATGTTTTAAGGTACCTTGATAAATTAAACAGAAAAAACACAAGTTTTTAATTCATATTTTTATTTTAAAGAAGAGAACTTTAATGAAAAGGTTCTTTTGTTATGTATCTCATTAGATATCTAATTTAACTGTCGTGATTTGCAATTTCTGGTCAGCGAAAGATGAAAGAAAAAAAAATTGTAGAAGGAACTTTAATATGTTTGACACTATTTTATAGAAAGCTAGTTCCTCCCAGTGGGTGACTTCATCTTTTGGAGACTTTGAGGATTTTGGAAACTTGACTTCATCTACAAAGCAAGCAAAGACAAAACAAGCCAAACTGGTCACCAAACCTCTTTCTCAGTGTCCATCAAGGTCAAATGTGGTAAACAAAAGACCAGCTTACGAAGATGAATTATGGTCTGACAAACACAGTCCAAAAAATCTGGTAATTGAAATAATTTTTAAAAAGTTTTTTAAGGTCTGTTTTTTTTTTAACTCTTTACTTATTTGCATAATTATGCAAGTGTACTCTAGCTATTAGAAATTAACATTTTTTTTGTGTTTTAAAAAGATTGATCTGATTTATATATTTAGTTAGATTTAGCTGTGCATAAAAAGAAGATAGAAGAACTGCAGACTTGGCTCCAAAGACATTTGAAAACAGACTCAGTGGTATTAATTATTACTACACATCAAAATGGGAATTACTGTATAGAATTTACACCTCTTAATTCTTTGTGTCCATCTATTTCCAGAAGGATGTTGATCAAAATATTTCTTAAATTTTTAGCTCAACCAATCAAATATGAAGTTCAACAGGTCTATATTTTGTTGAATTGACCCATCCACATTTAAATTACACAAAACTCAGTAATTTATCCTATATAGACTTCATATACTTGTATTATATATATACCAAGGCAGGGCTCTAATTGGCGCCTAAAAATTATGCTTGGCGCCTAAAATTTTTCTATAAGTCGCAAAATTGGTGACCACATTAAATTGGCTTGGTGATCGTCAAATTACTGAACTATAAACATTTTCAAATTTTTTTTAATAAGGAGCAGAAAAGAAGTTTAAAAGTTAGCAATGGACATGTCTCTATATATTGACTAATATCAGATTTTTAATTGGTGCCTAAGAAAAATTTACCTGGCGACTAATTTTTTTTGATAAGGTGTCAGTTGGCGCCTGAAGTTTAGAGGTCACATAGAGGCCTGCAAGAGATTACTCTTTTCATTGTAGTGGCCAAAAAATGTCACTTAAAAACTTAAACTGTCACTAAAACTTAAGTTTGTCACAATAAACACACTTAACGATCCTTGGTGACTTGTTAGTTTTTTTGATGTGTACAGTCATGAAAGATTGTTTGTGTATTTTTCATTTTTTAAATACTGTGATCATAATTAGAAAGTTTATTAAATAGTAAAACTATTATTGTGCACTAGTAATATATATGTACATGTACATGTGATTGTCAAATTTTTCAGTCCAGTGAATTTGCATTATTTTCCAGAGATCTCCAATGGTACTTTTGACCGGCCCTGCTGGTGCTGGAAAAACAGCTCTGGTGCAAGTTCTGGCCAAGGAACTGAATTGTGAACTGAAAGAGTGGACCAATCCTGTGGCTGGCTCATATGAAGAGTCAGTCTTTGTTGACCAGAGAAATAACTGGTCAGGTATGATTTAAAAAAAATGCTGCACATAATCCAAAGCAATTACTGTTTATCATTAAAAACAAATACAGTCAAGCCTTGTTATCTCAGACACAAGGGGATCAAGATTAAACCGAGATATCTGAGGATTTGAGATTAAGGAAAAAGTGGTTGAGACAGCCAACTCACTTCAACATATCCATGGTGTTTGAGATATAGGTGTTCAAGATAACGAAGTTCAACTGCATGAGGTTTCCTTTCATGAATATTTTATTACTATTATAAGTAGTTGTAGAAGTGACAAATGATATGCTTTAAACAAAATGAAAATTACTTTTATTAATCCAGATTACTCTAAAGTAGAAGGCAGCTATTCTGGTTCTCAGCTCTCAAAATTCCAACAGTTTCTACTGAGGGCAGACAAATATAATTCCCTGGATATATTTGGAAGTGTATCCCAGAAGAAAATTATCCTTGTAGAAGTAAATAACTTTTTTAATCAGTACTTCACATTGTATGTTGCCTTGATTTCACTATTAAAATCTATAAATGTTATATATAAAGTATTACAGGCATTAGGAAGTCACTGGGACTTTGAATTTTGCTTCCTTATAACAGAGATTCTTTATATCCATACAAGAAACATAGTGAAAATTGTTCTACAGGATACATATGAAGTTCTTTATAATTTTAAAATATTTCCTTATATGGGAGTTCTGAATAACCAAGTTTTACTGTGAATGCAAAGAAAACTTAGAAAATGAGTATAAGAGAGAGAGAGAGAGAGAGAGAGAGAGAGAGAGAGAGAGAGAGAGAGAGAGAGAGATTAGAAAGATTAAAGGAGAAATGTGTGGAAATTATAAGGCTTTGAATAAACCCATTCTATTTGTTTATTAATGATAATAAATATAATTTCCCTCTAATTTTCAGGAATTCCCAAACATTGTTTACAAAGATGCTGCATCTTTTCATGACATTTTGAGGTAAAATTAGATTTGAAAAGATTGAGAGAAAGAGTCAATGATATGTAAATACTGCTTTTGATGGTAATACTTGTGCATACCACAATGTTAGTGTGTCTCCTATCCTGGTGTTTGTGATATTAACAAGTTATGTGCAAATTGTATTAATATAACTGAAAATATATTTTTTTGCTTATTTTACAGAAAATACTCCAAAATTGGAAAATGCCCTCTCATATTTATCATAAGTGATTCCAGCAATGGTGAATCTAATGAAAGACTTTTGTTTCCTAAGCATTTACAGGAAGAACTTCACATAGAAAATATCAGGTCAATTTACAGTGAAGTATTTGTGCATTTATTTAATTGCATTAATGGATCAAATTGTTTGCAATTGACAGTACATGTATTACATTTAATCTTTATTAATGGACATATTCATTTATTCAAATATATTTATTGTGTCATGCATGGAAAGTGATAAGAAAATATTAGATATTTATTATGTTATGTAAGTGGAGAAAACCAATGTTTAATTTGAAATGGTTTTAGTAATGAATTATTTATCATTTTGTTCAAATTTCAATTTGTAGCTTCAACCCCATAGCGGCAACAACAATGCTAAAAGTTTTGACCAAAATAGCAACAGAAGAAGCTGATCATGTAATTATTATTTCTGACTCAAAAATTCAAGTTTCACTCTTGATGACACCATTTTTTGTATAAAATGATTTAGCAAATTTAGTGTAAAATGAGATTAAATTTACGTTGCAGGGTATGCATAAATTTTCCATCCCATCTAAGGCTGTGATAGAATCCATTTCCATGTCCAGTGCAGGAGACATCAGGGGAGCCATCAATGCCCTACAGTTTGCTTGTCTTAAAGGTTATTATTTATAGTCATTTACATTTTTAAAAGATTGAATTAAAATTTATGAACTTTATCCTTGGTCAACTAGCAATGAATATAAAATTTAATATAAAGCACACCTTGACAAAGTGATGGCCAGAGTAATGAACCATTGTCAAAAGGGTGGGCTGACTTGTTTGTTAAAGGAAGCAACATCTGCTTTATTAATTTTTTTTGTAGGATTTTATATTTAAAACCTTTAACATTATTAATTTGACTTTGTGTAAAACTCTAACCATCCTAATCTCCCATATATAGATACACATGATCTGGTTCTCCCTACCACATCTAAAGGAAAACAACCCAAGAGTAAAACAACAAAGAAATCTCACAGGAAAACGGAAAACAAGAGTTCAACTGATCCAGATTCCACTCTGGCAGCCATTGGTGGCAGGGATACATCCCTCTTCTTGTTTAGAGCTCTGGGCAAAATCCTGTATTGTAAAAGTGAGTTCACTATTAATATAACACAGTTATGTGACTTATTTCAGTATATGTACAAATCTGGGGGGAAAAAGTTTGTCAGATGCATTTGTAAGTTATAAGCTTTGCTCAACCTGCTTTGAATTCATTTAATTTACTAGATTTTTTTTTTTTTTGAGAATAAAAAAGTTACAAAATTCTTCAATGACGAATATATTGGGTAAAAATTTAGTATGACCATTGCAGGGTTGTTCCTAAGATTTAAAATAGCAGGGTACATTAAAAAAGTAGAAGGGGTTCTAGGGTTCCTTCTTTAACAGAGAGATGAGGGGGAATACCAGAATAACCGTGGGATTATGTCATTATAGGTGGGTTAATTCCCCGGCCCCTGGGTCTTAGAGACAAACCTACCAATATATATCAAATTTATTCCAAAGATTGTCCTGTATGCAGACTGCATTTCATTAAATGTAGAACCCAAGTCATGTTATGAAATACACTGTATTCATCACTCCATTAATGATCAAAATTTTCTGCATTTACTGAAGTGAAAAAAAAAACAATGAAAATTTTCAATTTGTCTCTATTCTATTTTTCAGAACTTAACAACAAAAGTAAAAGTTTCCTAATTTATGTTTGTTTTTCCTATTTTGATTACAGGGGATGACCCTCTTAACTACCCAGACTTACCCAAGTTACCTCCACATTTAGCAGAACATGAGAGAGATCCACTTGCTCTTGTACCAGAGGTACATGCTGAATATAGTGTCTTTACCAGTACAAATTGTTTGTTTGGTTTATGTGTGTGGAGGGGGTGGGGGTGGAGGGTCTTTTCTGTATAAACCTTTTGCTATTTATTAGGAACTAAACAAGGTAGTGACTAATTTCAGTGAAAAATTACTGTACCTGAAATTTACAGACACTTTTTATCGATTAGACAAGAATCAAGGATAGGAAATCTATGTGTACCATTCTTGTTACATGGAAACATTTCAAAGTGTTCTGCTTGATTGCCAGTATACCATGAAATTTAATACAAAAGCTTAAGAAAGTTTTAATTACTAGATCTTAGACTCTATATTTTCTGACATTTGAGAGCTTAACAATATTTTTTGATTTTTGATTAAGACTCAAACATGTAAGTTGAGAATGAATTGAGGAATTTCATGCTCAGCCAGCATGCATGTTAATATGCAATGTAGTTACACAAAGGTAACTCAAGGTTACATGTGTGGGGAAATGAAGAATTTATCTTTCAAATGCAATCAATCACAGTTTTACCAATACTAATGACCTTTATGATCATTTTCAGGATATAATAGAGAAATGTAATTTATCAGGAGACTACTTCAGTGCCTACCTGCACCAGAATTACCTTGAATTCTTCTCAGAAATAACTGACGTTGTCAGGGCATCAGAATATCTCAGCGACTCAGACTTCCTAACTTTTGAGTGGTCTGTAAGTCATTTTTACGCAAAATTTTAATTCCTCTCAAGACTGACTAAAACATGTTTGTAGAAATCCACTATCAAATTCAGGCTGTGTGGTTCTATATAAATATAAGAATTGCTTCTTAATATAAATTATGTCAAGGATTCTCTTTAGAAAAAGAAGAGAAAAACACCTCTAAATATTTCACTAAACAAGATATATCTTTAAAAGAAGGCAAATATGAACAATGTATATTATTAATGGAAGCTACATGTATCTAATGAATATTTTCCAAAAGTAATATATTACTTAGCAATTTAAAACCCTTTTTTCCAGACAAGATCAGTATTACAGGAATATGCAGCCTCTATAGCCACAAGAGGACTGCTTCATTCAAATTCTAGTCGATCCAAGTATTCAACAGGTGGATCCGGGCTGGGGTGGAAACCTCTTCACAAGCCTCAGTGGTACTCCATTAGTAAGACTGTAGGTGTTTTTATTTAATGTACTATATGTACTATAATGTATTTAATGTACTGTAGTACATGTAATGCACTATTATTTGGTGTTCATACATTTAATTACCTTTGCAGAGATGAATGCTTAAATCTGTGAATTTTCTGGTGTAAGACTGTGAAAATGGACTGGTAATTGTATTTTCTCTTCACCCTTTCAGAATAGACAGAATTGTGATGTTGCAAGACACTTATTCAAAAGTAAGATTAGTAACTGGTTTGCAATTAAAAACAAAATATTGCAATAATCCAATATTTCAAATTTCTATTATGGCCAATTTCTGTCAAGATTATTTCTTTGAAAGTTACATGTATGTGTGTTAATGAAACTTGGTTTGACCAAGGACATACATGTACATGCTAAAGGGATAGGCAACTTTCACTAGTCTTGCGATATCTCGTAAGTTGTGGGATTGCTTAAGTCAATTCTAAAAATCATATATCTCTAATGATATGAATTTTTAATGAACAAAACCTTTATCTATTAAAATTTTTTTTTTAGATTTGATTTTGCACTGTATATACTCCTTATCTTAGAATAATTACAGTACATTGTATATTCAAAATCAACACATGCTCCTCCAAGAATTCACTGACTTTGGTGGTACATGTAGGTTGCTTTATATATAAATTATTTTGCAACAATTGCTTTGAAATTTATTAAAAATCCATATAAGCAACAGGAACTGATTAATTTTTATCAGAAAACAAACTTTTTTACTGAAAATAATTGTAATTTGAAAAACTTGTATTGTTGTTTGGGATGTTTTGGGCAAATAAACATGGTGGTGAAGGAGTTGCCTATTCCATTATATACGTCTCTGATTTGACAGTTTGTTAGAATAACCTGCTTTTTATCTCCGTTGCTTTTCTTATATGTTACAGTGTACTTCAAGTACTATCTTTCTGTCGGATATTTTAATTGAGTACCTTGCTTAAGGTATATAAACCCTCGGCTCACTCATATAAAATATTATTTTAACTCGTATGATTTTCCAAAATAATTGTATCTTTAAGTAAAATACAAAAGATAGTATCATAGCTTGCGGGGCAAAATTAAACAAAAAAGACACTTCAACTTGACAAATTTAGAAAGGAATAATATCTCATTAAGAGTTATCTCTCTTATCAGAGGATCAATGAACCTTAACATATCTACAGGTGGAATTCTGTAGGAATTATAATCCAAAATGCATATGTGATACATAATTATGGATATAGGCCAAAGCAGCGTACACTCTTAATAGAATTTTTATGAACATAAGATGTTCTGGTGTCTGACCTGATATAAGTATATGTTTTTTTTCTCTCCAAAAGGTTACGCTTGTCCACCAGATGTTCTACAGACAGAGTTAATTCCCTTTCTTTCTCTCATTGATGTCACACTTCATGATCCAGGTTTGTTCATGTTTGATTTTCTTATTACAAGCATGTACCAATCTGAATTTTTTGTTGTTGCTGAAGCAGATTACATTTAATGCCACCAGAGGCATTTAATGAATGTAACCATTCAGCAGCACATTATGTCAAGTGCTACCTTGTTTGTTATGGACTACCAACTTCTGCAAATTTTTCATGACATGCTATGCACTAAAGAGCTTTTTTTTCTATGCATTTACTTAGAGAGGCAAAGATTTATTCAGTTATGTGTTCATGGTTTTATAAATTTATGTTTTCACTATGTCAGTATGTGTGCAAAATTCCAACTAAAATGAAATCACATCTTTTCCTTTTAGGGAATTCTTTCATTAATGTTTTGAGTAAAACTAACTCATTCTTTAATGCTTGGTGGGAAGGTCATTGATTTTCTGAGATTATTTTCTGTTTTGTACATTCAGTGCCATTTCTTACCCTAAAAAGTTTGAAAGGGAGTAGTGACATTTGAGTATTACACTTAAAGATCTTTTTTTTTTTTTAAAAAGAAAACTTGTCTGCTGTTGTATGTGATATTTATCACTTTTTGTGTTAAAAGTGCCACAGTCTAAATATGATATCATCGAGTCTTTTACTCATTTAAGTCTGTGCTATTAATTTTTTTCTCTATTTTTTTTTAGGCCAAATATCATTTATAAATGAAATAACCAAATTCTCCAGTGCAAAGCTACGGTAAGAGGTCTTCTACTTTAGAATAAATTTATTTTCTTGTATTAATGTTATGGATTAATTTTATTTGATTAACAAAGAGTGTTAAAGAATCAGAAAAATATTTCCGTTTTAAAGAATTTTTAGCTCAATTGAGCTTTCTCACCTAAGCTGAAAGCTCAAATGAGCTTTTCTGATCAAAAATTTTCCGGTGTCCGACTGTCGTCCGGTGTCTGTCGTCTATAAACTTTTCACATTTTCGACTTCTTCTCAAGAACCACTTGGCCAATTTCAACCAAACTTGTCACAAAGCATCCTTGGGTGAAAGAGATTTAAGTTTGTTCACAGGAAGAGCTGTGCCCTCTTTGAAGGGGAGATAATTAAAAATTTGTGAAAATTTGGTGGCTTTTTTAAAAATCTTCTTCTTAAGAACCACTGGGCAAGAGAAGATGAAACTTAAGTGAAAGCTTCATTACATACTCTAGATTCAAATTTGTTCATATCATAACCCCTGGGGGTACGGCAGGGCCACAAGAGGGGGTCGAAGTTTTTACATGGGAATAAATAGGTAATGTCTTAAAACTCGTATCAATGTAGAAGCATCCTCTGTTAGTGTTGAATTCTTTTTGCTCAAACCAAAGCCCCTTTGTATAGGGTGGGGCCACAAAAATGATCAAAATTCAACATAGGAATACATCTATATTGTGAAAAAAATCTGATGTAGAGCAGCAGGGCGAAAGTGACTCAGGTGAGCATTGTGGCCCATGGGCCTCTTGTTTCAAACTACCATCTTTGTGATAAGTTTCAGACCCAAAAATAGGGCCTTAAAAATGCTGCAGTGTAAGTGAAAAAACTGTACACTGCTCATCAAAGATCTGTACAAAATATCAACCAAAAAAATCAATGTAAAAGGGTTATATTTATATCTAAATTTTAAATCTACAATAACATGAAGTGCTATTACTTTTTGCAGAATTTTTTTTTACATATATTGAAATAATGTCAGCAATGTTGAATTTTTCACAAACAATCCATGTACAGTGTACCATAAGAGAATGTAGATCACTGTCTTCAATCAGTCTGCATACATAGCATGATACTATTGCCCTGTTCAAAGGGAGAGTTTAATTCGCAGTAAATTAATGTGAAGTAAAATGATGCGAATTAAATTAATGCCAATTAAATTGCATTCACACAACAGCTAATGCGAATGCAAATTATAATTTTATCTCTACAAAAAGGCTATTCAGTGAGGCTATTATGACGTCATTTACAAATCACTTCATATTGTGCAGAGGAGATATACATTTTTAAACATAATGTAAAAGTATCTGTACACATTTTAGTGATCAACATGATTTTCCTTTGTTTTCCACTCAAAAATAACACAAGTACTTATATTTGACCATCGACATGTGGCCTGTGACTTAATTCTGCCCTTACGCATGTGTCAAAATTTAATCCGAATTAGCTTCGCTTAGCGTTCACACGGAGCTAATGCGAAGTAATTTAATGTGCAGTAAACTAATTTGAATTAAACTAATTCGCATTAAATTCTACAGTGAACTCGGATCAAGTTTAATTTGCAGTAACTTACGTTTAATTCAAATTAAACTCTCCCTGTGAACAGGGCATAAAACATCTCTCTGACTCTGTGTTAGAATGGAAAATACAAGCTTAGGTTTAAGAAGAGGAAATAAGTTATGGATTGAATTTTGTGTTATTAACAACCAAATATTATGGGTGTTTGAGTATTTAGAAGATGTGTGTTTGTTATTATATAGTTCATATGCAGTACATTTGTGTTTTACATATAGACTGGTATACAAATGATAAAATAGATGTAGAAATTGTAACAACATTACATATATTACAGTTATATTGAGTATATGTACTGCAAACAAGGAGGTCTATAGAAAAACCAATATGAGAAACCATTTACTCGATCAGAAAAATAAGAGAGAAAAGAAACCTGTTACTAATTCATCTGATTTGACAACACTAGTATTGGTAAAATTTGTATCAAGCACATTAATTCGGTTTATAAATTATATAAATCAAATATATTAAAACTTAAACCTTGAGCAATTGGTAAACAAACAGAGTTGAGCAGTTAGAAAATAGTAAGCATTCAAAGAGTTTACAATGAAGGAAGAGAGCCAAAAGAGAACAGTGAGTGGAGATAAAAAATTTTGAAAGTTGTTGCTGGCAAGATTTTCATGTCATACTTAAATATCTAGTTTAACCATGTGTCCTGATCAATTTAATACTGTGGAATCATCATCGTTTTGGTGGGACCATGTTCATAGATTTCGTAGGTCATTTTATGTCTCAACAAATAAGTATTTAGTCGAAATATTGATTCATTGAATCTACATTTTACCCACAAAATTACATCCCCGTGAACCTGTTAATTTTTGCATACCCATGAATATTGACACCCCCCCCCCCCAAATTAAAATGATTTCACAGTAGAGCATTAGACAGTACCCTGTGTGTCATTACCCCCCCCCCCCCCCTTCCAATCTTCAGTGGATTAAAATATATTGAGAACCTTTTAGATTAGTGAGATGATCAGGCCTAACTATTTTGTTGATTCTTAATCACCTTACTTTTCTTGTTTTTGAGCAACATTTCTTCTTCTATCAGTTAAAGTTTGCTTTATTAATCAAACAATTGCTGTTCTATGGATCGTCTACAGGGTTGTATTGTACTCACTACAGGTGACTCTTAAGGCCCTTGAACCTCTTGTTAAAGTTGCTTTAAAGTTATGAGATTGGTTAAAATAATTTTTCAACAGCTCAATGTTTGGAATAATGACCATAGCCAGTGCTCAACTCAGTCACATGAATTAGAAAATTCAATGGTGATAAAGAAATACATGTATGTTACAATTTTCATCAATAATTATTTCAAACAACAATGCTTATAAGAAAGCTTTATGATTAAACTTATCAGGATTTTAGATTGAGAAATATTATACATCATTTCATTATGATAGTGTCAATTAGTAACCTGTATTTAAATTGTTTAAAACTTCATGTGTATTTCTTGAATGAATTCCATTGATTTCATTAATTATCAATGCAAGTTCTAATATTGCTAAACATTACAGGAAGAGTTAATTCAATTAATTCTTTGTAATGAGTACATGTTTTATCAAACAGAAAGTTATTTAAATAACACACACACAACATATTTGAAAATTTTACTTTTGTTATTGTTAACTCCATATGTGTGCACTGCATTCATGGGCAAAAAGTCAATGAAGATACTTTCACTGTGTTGTTGCCACTTTGTCCCACATAAAGATTGTTCTCATCATCCACACACACACTAACTGGACTAGATACTTGATGTGGTGTGAGTAATAGAGATAAGAACTCACCATCCTGATCAAGGAGGTGAACATTGTACAGATCACACACCAGTATGTGACCGAGGACATCAGTACAGATTCCATAGGGACGGAACACTGACCCCTGACCTTTGTAGGAGAATCTGTGTTGTCCTGATTTATTCACCACCACTACTGCCTTTTCATACTCTGATGTACAGATATCTCCATTGATGTTTTCTGTTATGTAGAATGGATAACTATACAGTCCCTGTCCTTTGTTATCCCTATGTATATTCTGTAGTTCTTTCCCTGTCTTGTTGTACCTGGTGACTTTACCCTCTCTATCCTTCACCATCCCCACCAGTAAGTCCCCGTTGATGTGGGAGGAGTGTATGCTGAGTGGATTCCAGTCTTCTGTTTTAATGAATTCAGTGATGTTGCTATCCTGTGTTATCCTATTGATGACTTTCTTGTTACCGACTGTAAAGATCAGATCCCCGTCCTGTGTCACTGTGTGGTAACCATTTCCACCACTGGTTTCTATCTTCTGTAGCTGATTCCCCTGTAGATCTGTTTGTACAAGGTTACTAAGCAGGTTGCTGACCCAGAGTCTGCCTGGCTGATCTAGTGATATATGGCACACTATGTTAACACCTGGTACTTTGAATTCCCTGACCTTGGTGACAGAGGAAGAAAGAGACAGTGTTTGTTTCACGTTAGATTTCTGTGCATTTTGTTTTGTTTGTTTCGTGGAATCTTTCATTATTGTTGAAGAATTTATTTCCTTTATTTTTCTGCCTTCTCTTTTAACAATGGGAACATTTATTCTGCCAAGTAATTTTGTGACATCCTCTTTGCTGTACTGCCCAGCAGTAAATTCTGGTGTAACTGGTTTTGTTGTCTCTGGTATGGGTTGGATTTTCAACCTCTCAGAAGTTATTGAAATTAATTTCTGTGGTTTTGTAGATGACAAATGGCCATGGAACTCTTTGACAAGATCTTGGAGATAAGTGATGTAATCACTGAAAGCCTTATCTTGGGTTTTTAAATCCCTTAGCAGTGAGTTCTCTATCTGGTCTAGCTGCTTCATGTTCTCAGAGACCACTTCATCCACCAGACTTTTAAGGGAATCGGCATCAGCCTTCATAAATGCTCTTAAGATGTTCATGATCTTCTTGATTTCTGTGGCATCTTCTTGAATTTCTTTCTTTAAATCCTGTGATGTAGGAAGAAAGTATTCCTGGATTTTGTTGATTTCCTCTTGGCAAAGTGAAAACTTTTCTGAATATATTGCCTCTAGATCAAGAAATGTATGTCCCTGATGATGCCTTAGTGTGGTGCATTTAGAACAAAGTGGAACCTGGCATTCTTTACAGAGCAAATCAACTTCCTTATTTCTGTGAATTTTGCATTTTTCAATAGGAAGTTGCCACTTTCGTTGTTGATAAAGGACCACCTCATGATCTTTGTTTTCTGGACTTTTCAGATGTTCATTTCTGCATTGCTCGCACAATTCCAAGTGGCAAGGATTGCAGTAATGTTGACAATTTCTCTCACAGTCTTCAATTCCACATTCTAGAAAATGCTGGGCAGTGCCAGGCATGTTCATTGCGGATAGTGCCATCTAAAATGTAAGAGGTTTGTGTATGTGGGTGAAGCACTGCTACAGTAATACATGAAGAACAATGATACCATTGATAACAGGATCTGATTTATTTTTACTGTTCAATATGCACACATGAAAATTATTGTAAAGAAATCCCAGACAATAATGAGCTATGTATGATAAGTAAAAAAGATTTGAAAATCTTTTCTTAGCTTGAATTCACAAGAATGAGCTGGTTTATATACTTACAGTATCTATGATTGATCTAGATAGGCATTTTAACACACCACCAAGCTTTGGAATGTCAAGGAACTCTCGTGAGACTATAACGAGATCTGTAATTTACTTCCTGGTTGTAGATAACTGAATTAAATCTCGCACAGGTAATCAGTCGGTATACTGTCCATTGTATTCATGAAAGGTTTGGAAATCAAAAGTATTTGTTGATTTATATTTTAAACCTTAAGTTTGTCTTTATACAAGTTTTTTTATAGTTAAGGGTGATAATATTTCTAGACATTATAAATGATAATCAATTCAAGATTAAAATTGAAATAATCAGTTTCAGATTTACTACAAAATTTGAAAAAAAGAGCGATAACTGTTTTTCCCACAAGGCAGACAATGTTTGTATTTCTGGCAATAATCCTATTATATAAATATAATAGGCTTAAAGAGGTACTGAAAATTCAAAAAAAAAATATATCACAATTTATTTTGAGTTCAGAAAGCAAAGATGATTTGAATTTTATACTCTTGTTTCTATTAATCTTGCTGTCTAAATCGCCTTTCACTTCAATTCATTTATCACTGTTTTCCTATTAGGTTCCTATGTTTGGATTTGTTTGCAGTTTATTTAAGAAATGTTTTTAAGTCTTGTGTGAGTTATTGGTGTGTAAATCACACAGACTTGTCATGTAGGCATATTTCATGAAGCGCGCTAGCGCTTCATGAAAAATATGCCTATGTGCAAGTCTGTGTGATTTACACACCAATAATTCACACATAACTTAAAAACATTCCTTATATTTACATTTTACAAGTTTAAAAGAACCAATGATATACTCAATATTTATTTGAATTTCTTTCTGCCCTATATTGTTACATTTTATTAACGTCTCTGTAGCCTCATTGTGACGTCACTTTGGCGCTAGTTTCACCGTGTATATTTCTACTCATGAGTATACACAAAAATGGCTTTCAAATCAATTTTACAGTTGGCTTAGTAGAAAAACATAGCAACTGTAAATATTGGTCAGTATTATTGTTCTGTTGCCTGTAAACTTCCACACTTCCACTTCTCAATTTCTTCTGTAGAATGATTAAGCCAGTTGCAACCTATGGTAAAAGTTATTGTAATTTGTTCAAATTGGTTTCCCTTTCATATTTCAAACTTGAGAAAATTAAGGAAAATGAAATTGACATGAGGTGTTTTTGACATACATGTATCTTCTTCCTTGTGGTATTCCTTATGAGGAAGCTTCTAGTTGTTTAATTTTTCTTTTTCTCAGATGGAATCTGTATATATTCTGAATACAGAAGTATTCCACAAAGTGTGTTTAATAATTGACATAAAATATGATCCTGTCAAAAAATTCTATACTCAGAAATTACAGAGTTGTTAAACATGTTAGATTATTGTGTGCATGATTATAAAAAAAAAATTTGCTTTTTGATTGACTCAAGTGAGCTTCATGGCTCATGGACTTCTTGTTATTTGTGCTTTTATAAACAGTAAAAATGTGCAAAAGTAATTCTTTGATGGTTGTTTTGTGAAGGTTTTCTTGCTGTATATTTCTTGTAGAAACAGTTTTCCTCATTAAAAGAAAGTGCAAAAAAATTACATACACAAATAGGAAAAAAAACCTCCTTCTTGTTGGAAAAGAGGTGGGGGTCCTTTAACATTTTTGTTTGCGCCTGTGTGTTTTTGTGTTTGGCCTTGTGCCATTATCCTGTATTGTATGCATTTATTAAAAAGTTTTTGGATGATTAATTATATCTTTACTCATACACGGGCAGAGTAAATAAATGGATGAATTTGCTTCATCCAACCTGTTCATAAAGTTAAGTTTGAGTTGTCTGACAAATTATTCCAAATTTTACAGGTCAGAGAAGCTAGATGAGAAAGACCTAGGGTTAGATAACAACTCGCAAGAGAATGAGGCTTCTGTAGGGAACACATGGTCTATGAGGGAAGAAGATGACAAGATTACTAGCAGCCAATCAAAAGTTGTTACAGAACCTGAGGAAGAGGAGGAGGATTATGAAATTACAGAGTTTGATGATTAATTAGCATTCTAATAAACAATTTTTCAAACTTTTTCAGTTATATGGGTTGAAATTTTGCATGTGAGACATCACATACAATCTTTCAGTACATGCAATGTGTTATTCAAGTTGTTTGCATTAATTAAACTCAGATTGAACAAATCAGTTAGGATTATTAGATTTTTTGTACATTTTGAAATAAAGCAGAAAGTAACATTTTCATCTTGTTGAAATTAAATGTTATAAGTAAGATTTATGGTTACAGAATATATACTTTTGGAAAAAAAGGTTAAGTAGTTTTTTAAATTCCCAGAAACTAGCAACAAGGCTTCATAAGTTGTTCTTAAAATTACTATTTCAAACATGGATGAATGTGCAGTCCTCTCCTGCAGATTTCTTTCAATGAGTTTCAGAGGAGACCGTTTTTAGATCATTTTCCTTAGTAAAAACTTAATACTGTAGTTCACCTACCAAAATAAACTGGATTGAAAACAAAAATAGAACTAGTCCGTATCCGAAAGAGAAATAGAGTTTTCCCATCTCTAATTTAGTACTTGTAAGTTTATTAATCTTTCTTTGTAATTAAGTTTTAATTCTAAAAAAAGAACAATTGCAGTTGTGTTATAGATATATGCACAATACTCATTTGATGATGTTTTCTTTATGCTAGTACAATACATACCCAAAGCCACATCAAATATAAAACAACATGCGTAAGATTGCATTGTGACTTACGCCCATACCTCTCGTACCATTGTGATAAGCCTGATCGATAAGTTCTTCCATATTGAACTGCTCTTGCAACTTTTGTAAGACCAAATTTATCTTCTCCAAATTGCTCTATTTGGATCTGAGGATGTTTGTATGGCTTAAAAGGCATTTTAAGATCTGCCTCGGTCATGTCTCCCTTGAATGCACTATGGTAGGAATCGTTCTCAAACTCTTTTTTCTTGACAAATGTATCCTAGACCTTTTCCCAAAAAGGCGACACAGCAACCAAAGCACTTCAAATCGAATTGAAGATTTATACCTCTGTGATTTTTTCCAGAAATAGTTTTTGATAGGAGAGGTTTGCATAGGCATCAAAATATAGAGAATTTTATTGGTGAGTTGTGTATCTAATTTATTGACATACGTACAACACTCGGCTGATGATGTATAGTCTTTGTCAGTATAGTGCATACTCAAATGTAGAACAACTAAAACAATAGCGTATCTTCAATACATTATCAAATTCGTTTTTATTCAATTTATTTTTAAATTTTTAAAAATACATATAAAATATCAGATATGCAATTTCATTACAATGTATCTACTTGCAATGAAGTTGGCATGGTTGGAGGGGGAAAGTTACTCGCTTGAGAGTGAGTTTGTGATTAACAGAAGTAATGTGACATCATTTGCTGACTTTTTTCTAACAGTATTGTGCTGTCTTGCGAGGGTATACTCAGTGTTGAGGTTCCCTTGTTTACCTCCATGTCCATTAGCTTCATATCTGATATTGGTTCTCTCTTCTATTGCTCGTTCACTTCTTCCTGTCCTGTTGGTTCTTGTTTAGATGGGAAATAGTGTCTAATGTCTCCTTTACCCAGTGGTTTGCTTGTGTAATTTTTAGGGATGACAGAATTGCTAATCAGTTAATCGCAAGACGTTACGACCTATTATAATAGGTTAGTTGTATCCAAATACACATTTTTTCCCAAGTAAATCTATTCATACCCTTACCAAACTGTTATGCTGCAGACCTGCAGCAAGTCTGCAGCAAACAAAATTGTTCGCAGGAAGAAAATTTTCTTGTTTGCAGATGATTGCCACTAGCTGCGATCTTGCGGCAAACATTGCAGCAATTGCTGTAAGCTTGCAGCAAATTCGCAGAAACTCGACATGTTTGCAGGAACATTGTAAGAAACATACACGCCAGTCTGTTAATTGTTCACAGCAAGTTCGCAGAAAATATTTAATAAATTGAATGTTTGCAGGAAGTTCGCAAGAACAGTAAACAAGTCAATTCAGCCAATGAAATGCAGACTGTACTGGGGTCAACACAGAATTCGCCATTTTGAAATGTTTGAATTGAAGTTGTAGATGTTTCATTTTGTTAGGAATATATACCATTTTGAACGATTACAAAAGCATAATTCTGGATATAGGTGTACATTGGCATAAACAACATCTAAGTGGTAAGATCTGATTTTGTTTTATTTTAATATGAAATAATTATCTCTTTAAAGCGGGTTTAAGTAACTGATGTACATGCTAGGTCAAATCTTAATCTATTTATGAATTTTAATCCTTATTTTAATATCACATTTGTATGTTTCTTTAATGTATTAAAGGTTGTAAATCAACTATTATAAATGTTTTTATGTTTTCAAATAAATTGGTATTAACTGTAAAATTTTAATTATAAAGTCATGTGCAAAGGTTCTTAAATGTCAAAAACGTGTCAATAAAATTATATTACGTTAAAATTAAGAATAGTTTGTGCATGAACATTGTCTAGGAACAAAAAGAGAGACTATCAACACTTCAGAAACTTGCATTATTTCAGCATGCCAAGAAAAGGTACGCATTCTAGTTTTAGAGCGAACTCAATAAAAGCGGAATTAGCGTTAATCTGTGAATTTTCCCAATGGGAGATGTGTGCGCGGCAATTAATGTCAGCAGTTTTGAGGGAAGGATCTTAAGTTTTACTGGTTTGAAATTAAAGCTAGAATACTTACTATTTAGAAGCCTTTGCACCTTTTTTCCTGTTGTTTTTTTTTTAAAGGGGGGGGGGGCGATTTTCCATGCAAATCATATGCGGTTAAAAAAGTAAAAAAAAAAAAAAAAAAAAGAAGAAAAAGAAAGTGAAATAAATTGTAGTGAACTAATTAATTGTTCAATAAAAAATAGACGCCTTTCAAATTTTTCAGTGTTTATATATCAAAATATTTTTTTCCTAGTATAAATTAACATCGGGCACGATGAACTTGGTTGTTGTGGAAGTCTCGCGCCTTATTAAGGTATCATAGCGGTAATTGACCAATGAAAATGAACTTAGTCAATTGTAGTTCCATACATATAAAATTATTATTTTTTCCTTTTGAATTTTTTTTTTAATTTCCTTCCAGTCTATTTTTACAATTTTGGTACCTGTGTCTAGTGCATTTTACATATTTTGTAAATAAATAAAGGTTTTTGACAGGAACTATTTTTTTTTCAGGGCATAGGAGGCTACTTCCTAGGGTAGAAGTTTATTTTTCTTTGACTAAGAAAACGGAAAACTTAGGATCCACCCCCTCAAATCTGCTGCCGTTAATTGTCTCGCCAGCGTTAGGGGAATATGAGTGAGTTGCATCAATTACACTTTTATTGACTCCATCGCTGTGGAAAAATGGACGAGATTTCTTGGCATGACACATGTGGTGGATTTTCTCTTAACAGATTAAGGTCAGGACAAAGGCTTTCTGCGAACTTGCTGCTTGTACACAGAAATGTGCCAAAAACAATAACTATATTGCTTGCCGCAAGTTAGCAGGTATGTTTGCAGCAATGTTTGCTGCAAGCTTGCAGCAATGTTTGCCGCAAGCTTGCAGCAATGTCTGCTGCAAGCTTGCAGCAATGTTTGCGGCGAGTATGCAGCAAGGTTTCCATATTTGGAAAATCCAATTTGCTGCTGACTTGCAGCAAACCTCATATGCATGGTAAAATGGTTTGCTGCAAGTTGCTGCATACTTGCTGCAAACAAAAATGCTTTGTATAGGCTGTCATTGTTTCTTAAGCTTCATTGCAGCAAGCTTGCAGCAATGTTTGCTGCAGACTTTCAGCAAATGTTTGCAGGAAGGCAATATTTTTGGTAAGGGTATACACAAGAAGACTAAAAAGGAAGTTAGAAGTTCGAAACTTTCTGTTTATTTTCTTCATTAGGAAACTACATGTACATGTATTTTTCTTCAATTTCAAAAGACAAGAAAAAATAAGAAAACCATGAACCTTGCCTCAGAAATCAGACAAAGATTTTCCAGTATAGATGTCACACAAGATCATTCTGCATTGTCACCATAATCAAAACTATGCTTGAACTTCCACTTAATTTACAATACTTCTGTCGCCCGCGTGGCGCAGTGATTAGAGCGTTGGCTCTAGAGTCGCGGAGTAAGGAGTTGATCCTTATGTCGCGGGTTCGAATCCCACTGTGGGACGTGGAGACAGGTCCTTCGGATGAGACCGTATAAACCGAGGTCCCGTGTCGCAGTAGGTGCTGGCACGAAAAAGATCCCTCACTGCTCAATGGCCTTGAGTGCCGAGTATTGGTCAAAATTTTGTAGCTCTCCGCCGGCAAGTGGTGGCATCTCCATATGAGTGAAAAATTCTCGAGAGGGACGTTGAACAATAAACAAACAAACAAAACAATGCCTCTAATATAATTTAATAGATAACGGCAAAAGATAGACATTATACTAATTCACAGTACTCAACGGTGAGTTATTCATTATCATCAAAGAATTACGGGACAGTCGGGGTAACGGCATGATGATTTTAAAAACAGTATACAGACTTCCCAAACTGACCAATTACCCTCTCAATCCGGAGAGCCATAATTACCCCCAATTTAGCTTGGTAATAAGATTTGTAAAGTTATCAACTTTTTAGGCAGACGTTTCCTTTTTAAAATGATTTTTTTTTAAATTGCTCTCAAAGTTACCTATATTTATTTTTTCCGACTAAACGAGTACGAATTTTCTAACCGATTACCATCGTTCCGACCGATTAATCAGTTAACCGGGTATTGCCATCCCTAGTAATTTTTTTTATTCCCAATTAACCTTTTACAACTCCACCACTTAGTAAATTGATGCTGTTTTGCCTTCTATCAATTCCAAAAACGGTTGCGTCTTCGTAGCTCAGCATTAGATTTATTACTTCCTCGGATGTTGCTTTGCGTATATCAACACTTCCCCTGCGTAAAATTGCATTATGACTAACACCCATGACTAACCGTACTACTGTGATAAGCCTGGTAGGTTCTACCATTTTCAACTGATTTGCTACTTATTTAAGACCACATTGATCTTCTCCTAGTGGGTCTGTTTAGATCTGATAATGTTTGCCTGTCTTAGAAGGCATTTAAAGTTCCACCTCGGTTATGTCTCCCATAGATGCACTCTGGTAGGAATCAATCTCAAACCCTTTTTTTGGCAAATATATGCCCGATCTTTTTCCAAAAGGCGACACA